GAGAAACGTCGATTGTCAAAAACCGTATCGCGATATCTTCAATGGTACCATTAATACAGGGCGATTTTCGATTTTCCCCTATTATGAAAAATGGCTATAAGTTTTTTATTTATCAATTTTTTTCATTTCTGTAAAAACATTATGGAGACACTTTTTTGAGCACAATCCAGTGGCGGACTCGGTTTTTTTCTATATCGCTCCGATTTCGAGATCTCGACCAAATTCCGATATTTTCAAATGAAACATCCTTTATATTAATAGCTCATTGGATAGCTCTGTTTTTGCTGATTTCAATGATATAAAGTTCGATAGGTTTATCTCTAACAATTTTCCAAAAAAAAAATTATATGTTTCAGTCATAAGGAACAATGTGTTAGAAAGAGACCTTTCTCACTTTCCTTACACATATAAAATCCTTTTGTAACACATTGGTCCTTACGACAAAAACAAATATAATTTTTTTTCTCGAAAACTATTAGAGATAAACCTATCGAACTTTATATCATTAAAATCAGCAAAAACAGAGCTATCCAATGAGCTATTAATATATAGGGAGTTTCATTTGAAAATATCGGAATTTGCTCGATATCTCGAAATCGGAGCGATATCGAAAAAAATCGAGCCCGCCACTGGATTGTGCTCAAAAAAGTGTCTCCATAATGTTTTTACAGAAATGAAAAAAATTGATAAATAAAAAACTTATAGCCATTTTTTATAATAGGGGAAAATCAAAAATCGCCCTGTATTAATGGTACCATTGAAGATATCGCGATACGGTTTTTGACAATCGACGTTTCTCGAAAATCGATCCCATGACATCTAAGTCAATTTTCCTCTATCTGGTCTGGAAGTACGTTTTTCCTGTTGAAACACTCCAAATTGCAGCACCCTGTACAATAGCATCAGTTATTTTGAGAAAAGCTGTGGTACAGCTCCTTCTCGATAAGCAGACTGATTAGTTTATTTACCTTGATGTAGGATGGTGTGCTGCACCCTGCACCTGAGAGTTAACCATATCACTAATTGGCCTCAAGTCATTCAATGTTGAATTTTCAACTTTTGGTAAGGACAAATGTTGAATTTCCAATTTTTGGTAAGTGCACCACAAGAGCATACTTCCATACTTTCCCTTCCAAAAGTGAACTGTTGACAATGTTGAGTAGGCTCTATACATAATTTGTGCATATTTGAAGTGATACCGTCAATGGCGTTAATATACCCCCAGCATTTGTTTTTATTAAAAGGAGGACTTTCTGAGTGTCTAGCCTGTCGACCAAAGAGAAAGAAAAACACTTGAATTGTTTGTTCACTAACTGACAGTGATGGAATACTGCTCATGAAAGCTTCATTGAATAAATCAGGATTATCCATATCAGGTTGAAGTTTCTTCATTGGCACTGCCACTGCATTTGCGAAATTCAGGAGCAGAGAAATACTCAACTTTGAAGTTGATGTTGTTGCTGTGATATAGTGGAAAAAATTCAATGTCATCTAAGTCAATCCAAAAAAACGTGGGCTCGATCGATCTCAAATTCCTATAGGTTCATTCTTGGGGCATTGGTTTTTATATGCTGCACAAGAGGAGTCCAAATAAACTGCCTCTCAATCTGTGATGATAGGCTCAGGGGAGATCACACCGCTTTCTACTACAATTTCTTGATCATTGCTATAAATATAATCCAATAGAGTTTCAGAGTTTGCTGTTATTCTCGTCGGCCAAATGACGTGGCGACCTGTTTCAAGACCTTGTAGTCACATCCTTGTGGTGGAAGAATATCTATGTTAAAGTCACCCGTGCAGATGACAATGTCATAATTATCTCAGGCACACTGTCATGCAGACAGTGGAAGGTTCCTTATTGCACTCTAGGGGGTTTGTAGAAATCACCAATAGCGATGATGTGTAGGTACTTTCTCGATTGTGACTCGTATCCAAGGCTGGTCAAACTCTGTTACTGCATTCTGGTGCTCAATTCTTACTGATTTGAAATTTTTACTAACATATAGTGCAACCCTACCTCTCTTTATCTATCTATGCGATAAAGCTGGTATCCATCAATATGGTAGGTATTTATCATTGGCAATCTCTGGAAGCAGAAAACTGTCCGATATTGCAAGGAAGTTGTGTTGATGGTGCTTGGTGAATTCGAGAACTTCTGTAAATTTGCTGCATATTGATGTAGGATTTATGTGGACCAACCTCTGGAACTCAATTGACAATGACTATCGCTAGTATTTCTTCCTTGGTTACTCGACACATGAGAAGATATACTCTATCTGGAACCTGTGAATTGCTATACACCATAGTTTACTTTAGATTTGTTATTCTAATGACTTTTTGGTACACAGGACACTTCAAAGAGTAGGCTCTGTGACGTGTATCTTCGTTTGTGTGAAGTTTGTGGTTTATGTGTAGACAATATTTGGACACTTCTTGATTCCGTTACTAGTACAGGATCTTGAGATGTGACCAGAAGCCAAGCAAAAACCACATATTTCTTGGTCTCTCTCTCTCTCTCCATAATCTTTGGCTATGCGATTGAAGGAGCAACATTTGAAACAACGAGTCACCATGACATACTCATATACTGGACACATATAGGTACCTATTAAATTATGTCGGGACTCTATTCGTTGGCAAACTCTTAGGACATAATCTAAGCTTCGGACACACTCCAGTATTATTTTGGTACTGCCTATAATTTCCAGTACTGTTCGTGCCCGAGACTAGGGCAGAAATGTCCAAATTTTCACAATAACTTTTTTTCCGATGAATCGCAATTATTAGTTCTACCCCCTTAAACCACGCTCAAAGTAATTTGCAAGTCAAGTGAGGTTCCCCTAACGATGTATTTTGATAGCCATACCTATAAGTACTTATTTCTCGATTTTTTATATGGAATGATTTTCAAGTCACTCGACTCTATCCTCAAGTGGCGGTTCTGTTCACAAATGGCTGTCAGTACTTAGTACTTGTGTCTTCGAGAACTCAGGTTCAATAGACACAAATTTTTATCAGTGGATTATGTCTTTCAGATATTTTGATATCAAAGCTTACTCCCTAATAATTGGTTATGTAGTTGTTCAGTTATTTTGGTTGCATCTTCGAGTGCACCACACTGAATTATTAATAGGCGGTTACACACGGACGTGGATGTCTGAAAACATGTACGCACATACATGAACGTGCAAACAAAAACATTAATGTGTATGCAAAATATCGTCGCGTTTTTGAATGTGCAATTTTGTATGCACACTCGGAATACTGTAGCAAGAATAGCAAGACTGCAGTTTTGTGCGAGCGTCTGTACAAAAACGCCATGCACGTTCTTGATTGCACGTTGATGTATGCACGTATATGTATTAGGACATCCACGTCCGTGTGTAACCGCCCAATGATCCCTTCTTGATCTTTCTTTAGGCCTCGGATATTTGTTTCCATCAATGTATGGTCAGTTTTTTGTTTTATTTCCCGCTTTCGCTCTATCATATCTTGGTTAGTAGGTACCCTGCGATGGCTTAACAACGATAACTCTCTCTGATGTAACCGATGCATAGCTTCTTGAAGCTTGATTGCATTATATGACTGGCTGTTCCTCATAAGCCGTCCAGATTATCTTTCTAAGTTCTTATTCTTTTTTCAAGTAACTCTATATGATAGGGTCCTTTGCCTTCAAAAGCTTTATTTTGTCCTCTATATTATATCCTTGCATGACACTATTTGCTCATATAGGAATTTCAATATTACTTGGTCATCAGCATGTTCCTGAGCATTCGTGGCTTGCGGCCCTGTTTCTCATATTTCAGCGTCATCTCCACGTTTCCAGTGGCGTGGCTGACGGGCCCGCAGGGCCCTCGGTGCGGGAGGGCCCCGGGGTATTTGGGGCCCCCAAATTAAAGAAGGTACTCTTCTCATACAAAATATTTTTCCACTTATGTCAGTTCGAGTGTCAGTTAAAGAAAATCTTCAAAAAAAATCGAAGATTTCTCAATTTTTGCAACCATCGGATGCATTGGAAATGATAGTGCTAGCGTAAAATCTTGAAGTTTATATAAAATCGTTTAATTTTTATTCCACCTCAGACTCGAACCAAACTCCAAATGAAATTAATAAAAAATGTCCTTAGGTCGACCATGTCTCGAACTCGTCTAAGTTCTTCAGCTCTCATCTCAATACAGCACGGAAGAGCTAAAGATGTAAAAATATTGATGAACAAGTTCATCATTATTTATCCAGTCGTTCTACTAGGCCGAGTTCAGAAATAACGCACAGGGTGCGAGTGCAATTTTAAGGGTGTGCCTGAATCAATGACCTATATTGACAATTGGCCATTGGGCCCATAGCACCGTCTAGCATTTTTGAACAGCTAGAGCGTCGCACCGGTGTCACACTCTTAGAGAAAATAGTTTTATTACACTTTTCTCTATTATTTCTTATAATTTTAGTTTTGCTTGAACCAGAGTTTAGTTATTATTTTTTTATTTTCACCATTTTTTTCATAGTTTTTATATGTTTTTTTTTTATCAGAGTAGTACTTATTTTCTATTTCATGTTATAATCTTTGATAAATTTTTTTATGGTATTTTTTGTTTTCTTCCATTTTTACCGAAACTGTTCGGGGCCCCCAAGGAAAATCTCGCGGGAGGGCCCAAGAAACTCGGCACGCCCCTGCACGTTTCTCTATATCCTTCAGACAGATCAGTACAACCTTCACAGAAAAATTTGATGCTGGAAGGCCGTTTTTGGTGCGCATCTCCAAGCTGTTGTTTCTGTTATAAGTTTTGAACAAGGACGATACAGATCCTCTTGCATATAGAGCATGTAGCTCTAGCACTGGTGTTCGTTCGTTGTTGCTAATACAATCGAATTTGATTGTCAAGATTTTTGAGTTACTTGTGAAATTTTACGTAAACTTCAATCGAGTTCTAATTCAATCAATTCTATTGGATAATGATATTAGGAAAAAAAAACACAAAAAGTTGCTAAAGAAGATCTATTTTCATTCACCAAAACAAATTGAAATCTACACACACTATTATATCTTATTATTATGACGGAACTTGGATATTTTAGTATAGGAACAAAATTTAATATTATTTTAAAGCACCATATTTTTGGTCTCAATACTAAAAATTAATACTTGCAAAATAAATGACGAAAATCTCACTATGTACTAGAACTAAGAAGAAAAAAATGCTGTAAATAATAATACTTAAAACAATAAAGGCTTAAAAATATGATAACAAATATGTACTTAATTATATGGCACTTTATTCGAGACTTTTCAAACAAAAATAACATTCTCTTGAAAATAAACAGAATTACTTAATTTATATATCTACTCTTGATAATATTATGGAAGTTATGGAAGTATAGCAGACACCTCAAAGGAAAAAGTCATTAACCCGCATTAGACAATCTTTGATTGTACTTTTCCTTTTTATGTTTCTATTAACATTTGATTCAATATTAATCAAAGTTCCAACTGATGCCCTTTTGGCCTTTTCCTTACTTATTCAGGCGCCACTACATAGAAACACATTTTAAAACTTTGATTCCTGCCATGTACCTAGTAGAAGTGTTGGGACTGAAATTTCAAGACAACCCACTGCTGAGAAACTAATGTTGTTATTGCGATGATCTCTGGTGGCACCTATATTTTAATGAGGTATGCCTTGAAGAGCTCAGCTTGGTAATACATTTTGATTCATTGAACCACAGAAAAACTGAAGTGATAATGTAACAACCCCAAAAAAATATAAACGAGACAAATCTTGAACCAAATGTCACCTTTTCCCAGCATCATTAACCATCCTATCCACCTTTGAATTAATAATAGATACTTCCAACAAACTACTATCTAAAAACCTAAACTCCTGACTAATAAAAATTTTGCGTTATTCTTGAATTGCTGCTGGATCCGCGAAACTCACTTGACAAAACACCCATTCCTCCAAGAAAGAGGGAACAAAAGCTCTGTCTTGAGTAAATTTAACTGGTGGATTCATTTTTTTGAGGTATTGCAAGTAAGCTTCGATTGCTTCAGGCGAAGATCCTCCAGTAAGCTACAATCAATTCAATTAATTTTTTTTTAAATAATTGATTATCTACATACATGTGTCATAAATTTACCACTGGGCTTCAATATCTTAAAACTCAGAGAAATAATGTTATTAATAAAAGCCCACACTTCTTGAGATTCGTTTTCAGAAATGGGTACGTCAGTCAAATCACCAAAAACATAATCAAACTTTTTGCCTTCTTTTATGTATTGCTCAAGGGCTTTTATACAATCACCAATAATAATCTATAAAAATATTATTTTTAAACCTAAAAATTACTATTAAATATTGATATTTACTTTATAATTAGGTCTTTCATATTGATCCAATACATCTCCACATATGGAACGCATATGTTTAGCACAAGCTTTCATTACAACCTCATCAATTTCTAGCATTATCACTTGTTTGGGCTTTTCTTTGAGTAATTCGTACAATAAAGCTCCATCTCCTCCACCTTAAGTTTAAATATAAAAAAATGCTACATAATCATTATAATCACTGACCTAAAATCACAATTTCTTTGTTCGCATAATTTTCTTTGCCTCTTTGCATCAGAGTTTCAGTGTAAACTAAATCGGATTCAGCAATATCTGTAGATTTAAAAAAGTCATCAGTAAGGAGTTTATTTATTAACCTAAAATCAATTCTTACTTTGTAAATCATCCAAAACTAGCATATTTCCCATACTTTTGGAATGTAATATTTGCACTTTTTGAAACGGAGTGCTCTCCTCAAACACCAGCTTATCTATGTCATATTCCAATAATCTTTCATCTAAAAAAATTTTTTCAATTAATTTTTATATTTACAATAAAAACAAATATTAACAAGGCACAAAATACGTCATGCATCTACATACCAGATGTGGGCATGTATCTGATCAAATCTCCACGTTTAAGTGAGGGAAGGATTTGCACCCTTTTAATTTCTGATACTCGCTTTTTGAGGACTTTTTCTATTTGATGACAAGTCTAAAATGCGAAAGGAAAAAAACATGCAAAAATAATAATAATTGGAAAATGGAATATTAAAAACGGAGGAATAAAAATATTTAATGCATAAATATACTAAGGGAGCAAATTGTATAAATGAATAAGTCAAGCACTAATTTTGGTTTAGTAAGTGTTTTTTCAAATGAATGCAAAATTGGTAATCAGAAATTTTTTATAAATTAGCTAAAAAAACACATAGGTAAATAAAAGCTAGGAAATTCGAACCTGAGCTAGATAAATAGACATCAAGAGGAATACCTCTTTTTATAGGAGGAAGCATTTTTGATCTAAACGAATCAACTGCTAAGCAGAACCTTTGTTCGAAAATTTTACTTAGCTGAAACAAAAGAGCAGATTAAAGAAAATTGTATTTACCCAAAGATACTTATTCATTTTGACTCAGATTTAGTCAGTGACTAAAAGTAAAACTGGTCCAAGGCAGGGTGAAGTTTCTTTCATTTCATTAGTTTTCTTTTTATTCTACCTACTTAATTAAGGGGTAAAAATTTTCCAAGAAAATCTATTCATATAGTAGAATTTTCCTTGTAATATGAATGTGAATACTGAATCTAACATGCAAGATGAAAACAATATTGAACAGCTTGATGAGACGTTGGTGGAGGGACAAAAGAAATGTGAAGATAGTCAACCAAGGAGAACTGAAAAACTCACCGAAGACACAAGAAACCAAGGGGTAAACCACCATCCCAGAATTTGTGCAAACAATTCCTCAAGAGAGAATTTTTTACACATAAGTAATTCCTCAAAATTCCTGCAAACTCCTCAAAAGTCCTGCAAACTCCCCACAAATTCCTCCAGATACCCCATCACAAATTCCTCCAAATACCCCACCACAAATTTCTCCAAATACCCCACAAATTCCTCTAAATTCCCTGCAAATTCCTCCAAACTTCTCTCAAATTTCCCACAAATGTCTCTTACAAATTCCCTGAAAATCCCCATAATTGCTTGTGATAAGAAATTTATTTTTTCTATTTTTATTTCTCTTAGTAATCAAGTAGGATCGAGAGTAGGATCCAATGCAAGGTTACGTTAGTTGACTTAAGAGCTAGAACTAATGATTGGAAATCAACTTACAAAAACTGTAATAATTGTTAATACAGCCTCACACAATTCAAAGTTTTCCTGAAAAACTGATTGAGGGAAAATTTTGAAACTTCTTACATATGAAGAGGAAAGTCAGAGGCTCATTTTCCCAAAATTTCAAATTTTTTCAGTGGAAAATAACAACATGAAGAATCTTGGAAATCAACCTCCAACAACTGAAATAATTAAAAATACAGTCTTACGCATTTCAAAGTTTTCCTGGAAAACTAGTGAAGGCAAAAATTTTGAAACTTTTTGCATGTGAAGAGGAAGGAGAGAAGCTCATTTTCCTAAAATTTCAAATTTTTCCAATGGAAAATAAAAACATGAAGAATTTTGGAAATCAACCTACAATAACTGAATGAATTAAAAATACTGTCTCACACAATTCAAAGTTTTTCTGGAAAACTAGTGAAGGAAAAATTTGGAAACTTTTTGCCTGTAAAGAAGAAGGGGAGAAGGTCATTTTCCCAAAATTTCAAATTTTTCCAGTGAAAAATAACAACATGAAAAATCTTGGAAATCAACTTACAAAAACTGAAATAATTGTTAATACAGTCTCACACAATTCAAAGTTTTCCTGGAAAACTAATTAAGGGAAAATTTTGAAACTTTTTGCATGTAAAGAGGAAGAGGAGAAGCTCATTTTCCCAAAATTTCAAATTTTTCCAGTGGAAAATAACAACATGAACAATTTTGGAAATCAACCTACAAAAACTGAATTAGTTGAAAATATTCTATCTCACACATTTCAAAGTTTTCCTAAAAAATTAGTGAACGGAAAAATTTTGAAACTTTTTGCATGTAACGAGGAAGGTTAGAGCAAAGTTTAGTTAGAGGCTCATTTTCCCATAATTTCAAATGTTTCCATTGGAAAGTAACAACATGAAAAATCATAGAAATCAACTTACAAAAATTGAAATAATTGTTAATACACTCTCACACAATTCAAAGTTTTCCTGGAAAACTAATTAAGGGAAAATTTTGAAATTTTTTGCATGTAAAGAAGAAGGTGAGAAGCTCATTTTCAAAAAAAAATTTAAAATTTTTCCAGTGGAAAACAGCAACATGAAGAATCTTAGGAATCAACCTACAATAACTGAATTAATTGAAAATACAGTCTCACACATTTCAAAGTTTTCCTGGAAAACAAGTGAATGGAAAAATTTGAAACTTTTTGCATGTGGAGAGTAGAGATGGAAAATTCTCGAGAATAATAAAAAAGAGAATATTCTCGAGAATATTCTCAAATTTAAGAATTTTATGAGAACGTCCTTTTGAACTGATATCAACTTAATTATAACCAATTATTACGCAACATTATGACTATCAGGTTCTCAGGTCATCAAATTTTACTACTTTTCTTATGCATTAAGTGAAATCCAAAATTGAAATATAAAATTAAGTCTTGAGTCTTGACCATGTTAAGATTGTCATAATTTTCCATTTTCGACCCCTAAACAAGAGAGGAAAATGTTTCTTTTCCTCCTGCTATGGGCGCATTCTTTTTTTCTGATGAGGCGATGAGCAGTCTATATTTGTCTAGTATGTAGGAATTTGAAACAACTGACTCATGTCATCAGGATATGATGAACACAAATTCAAATTCTATTCTGGTAACTAGCAAGAGTGACCCCTCTCAAGCCAAGGTTTTGAAACTTGACCTCATCATTTCTGATTTGAAAATGTGAATACAAAAAGAGTCGAGACTTGTGTCTGACTAGAAAACACCTAAAACTAGGGCCTAATCGACTTTTTGTATTTGCTAGTGAAGGTGGAATTCCTTGCCAGTAATTTTACAAAGAGCAGTTGGCAACACTGGTTTCGTGTTACATAAATGCGACGCGGTTAGATGGGGAGAACGCTACCGCGCGAGAATTTTCTAGTAGAGAATATTCTTTTGAGAATATTCTCTCCTCACAGCCCTAGTGAAGAGGAAGGTGAGAAGCTCATTTTCCCAAAATTTCAAATTTTTCCAGCGGAAAATAACATGAAGAATCTTGGAAATCAACTTACAAAAACTGAATTAGGTAGTTGCAAATATCGTCTCACACATTTCAAAGTTTTCCTGAAAAACTGGTGAACGGAAAAATTTGAAACTTTTTACATGTGAAGAGGAAAGTTAGAAACTCATTTTCCCAATATTTCAAATTTTTCCAGTGGAAAATAACAACATGAAGAATCTGAAGAAGAATCTTGGAAATCAGTCTACAAAAACTGTACTCATTATTGTTTTGAATTTTTTAAATTTGGACTTGTAAATCATGAAGTGAAATTTTGGGAGAATTTCTTTAATGAAAATGAATGTCCAACGTTCAACACAAAGCTAGATTTTTTTTTAAATCTCCATTTATTAGTGTTTCTTATAATAAGAATGTGAACCTCAGTGACGTCATAACTCTACAAATTCCTTATAAATTCCTCACAGATTCCTCCAAATTCCCCATAAATTTCTCCGAATTCCCTATAAATTCCCCAAATTCTCATAAATTCCGATGAGTTCCTTCAAATTCCCCATATTTCAGGCAAATAATTCCTAGGTGGTTTGCCCCTTGCAAGAAACCTAATGCAAACAGGAAGGTAAATGAAAGATAATCACACAGCGAACATAGCAGAGCTAAAGAGTTGAAAAAAATATATATATATTTCAAAGGCCTTGAAAAAAGAGTGGAAAGACATACGGAACTTTAACAAAAAAGAAATAACTAATATCATTTTAACAAAACAGAAGTCTGAAAGTCCTAAAGCGGAAGTTGAAGACAGGAAGAAGGAATCGAGGAAGGAATATTCACATCATACAGGAACAACAAGAGATTCTGAAAACCATCGAAGAGTATTATAGATATATTTATGTATATATATATATAGATATAGTCGGGATGATTCCATCCAAGATGTAGAAATTCACAAGGAAATTCTAGTAATATAGATTCAAGGGTCACAGAAACTTCCAGATTTAACCGAAAAGGAAATTGAAACAGCCATAAAAAAAAAAACTCTCAAAGCTCTTATAATGCCTGCCTGGAGGAAGTAATGATAATCATTCATAAAAAAGGAGACATAACAGAAATTGGAAACTATCGACATACCTATCAGTCTATCTCATTTATAAAAGCTTTTATGAGGATAATTACTAATAGAATGGGACCTAAGCTAGATTTTCATCAAGCTTTTGACTTAGTCCAGCATAACTCCATCTTAAAGGCTCTTACAGAGTTCAGTATTGACCATAGGTACACAACCCTTCTCCAGAATGTATATAGTATTGCAACAGCTGCAGTCAGAATACATCATGGCGACTCGAACAAATTCCCATTGAAGAAAGGTATTAGTCAAGGAGACACAGTCTCTCCCAAACTATTCACTGCTTTGTTACCTCGTTTGTTACAAAGCGCCATGAAGAACAACAAATGGGAAAATATCGGAGTAAACATCGATGGAGAGTATCTAAACAACCTAAGGTTTACAGACGACATAGTCCTTATTGCAGATAGGGTAGATGATCAAGCATGTTAACTTCTCCAAAGTTCTCAACAACAAACACAATTCATGACCAACATTGTCTTGACCAAAAACATTGCATGACAAGCAAATAGAAGAAGAACAGGAGAATAGGATTAACATGGACAACCTATGGAAAAATGAGGAATGTCTTTAAATCAGATATTCCCATGTGTTTGAAGAGAAAGGTCTTTGATGAATATGTGCTTTCAGTTCTAACATATGGAGCAGAAACATAGACTCTATCGAAATGGGCAGGTCATGTCGTCAGAGTCAGTAGGAAAGTACTAGAATGAAGAACTAGACACGATGCATATTTTAACCGAGGATGTACCCCAACAAGATGGTTGGACAACATGAAGCACTCCCAGCCCAACTGGATGCAAAGTGTTCAAGACCAGAGGCAGTGGAATGATTTATAGGAGACCTATGTCCAGCAGTGGACTCGAGAGTGGACTCAAAACAGCTGATGATGATGAATGATGAATATGATGAATGTGAAACAGACCCTGGGAGATAAACGGAGATAAAGTACCTAATTGGAAAACTTTTTATTTCTTGGGCTTTCATCATATTTGGGTTAGTTTTCTTATCTTAGATTTTTATTTCTTGGGCTTTCATCATATTTGGGTTAGTTTTCTTATCTTAGACTTCTACTCTATTTATTTGCTTTTGTAAGAGGATCTAATAACCAGTGATTCAAATTTAAAGGTTAAACCGAGGGTTAAACACAATCTGAGAATTGAAGAAACAATTGTTAAGAGCTTTTTAATAGGATAGTTTTTCCACAGCTTTTCTATCTCAGAGTTTCCTGATGATTTGGCAAAGACATTTCAAGGCTTTCTTATATAAGTAGGTATGTTTTAGTAAAATTAGTTTTCATTTGAAGAAATAAAATAAAAAGCCATTTTTAGGTGCTGGAAAGAGGGATTAAGATCAAAAGAAACTTTCACGACAAATATGATTCAACAGAGGATTCAACAATAGTTGGATCTTCTTGTTTGAGGACTTGTACAATAAAATCCAGGCAAGAGAAGGCTCCCTCTAAGTAGGTACTGCAGTTGTGTATATATACTTCGTTTAAATTTGCTGTATAAAGGCTCTTCTCGCCTTTCTTGCTGCATCTGAACCTGGTTAGAAAAATTAATTTGGCATTTTCTATGATTTTTTGAGTGGATTCCTTGAGATACATCCTATGGATAGACCTATTGGCCAATTATTGGATAATGGACTGGACTGATTAGGTATTGTTCATTACTTGGTTCATTTCTTATTTCAAATTTCGATGTACCTAATACAAGGTTGTGATTCTGCATTATTCCAATATAACCATTTAACTTTGCTAGTAAAAAATTAACCAAACAAAAAGAGAAATACTTACATCCAAGTTCATCAAAGGTTCGGCTTTCTCCTCCTTAAAATAATCAATGTTCAAAGTAATTAAACCGTTGATAAAGATCCTCAAACTCAACAGAGACCCACTATTCGCTGTGTAAATTTTAACCAAACCTCCTTCAAAGTTAAAATCGTTTACCAGTTTCAACTCCGAAAGAAAATCTTTCAGCACATTTTCGATATTCGTTGCTAATATTGATATCGAGGCTTCGTTTTTCGCTAGGCTTGGATCGATAGAGAAATCGAGCAAAACTGTATTCACTGCCATTGTTTTAGGAACGTGCAGAACTAATTAAATTAATATTAATGCAAAATTAAATTATTTAAATAAAATGGTTTTTGAAGGTATTTAAAAATGTGGGATGCCAGCTGATTAATGACAAGTGTCAGATATGACATAACACTGAAAGAGAGTTTATCGATACGAGATATCGATATATACATGGATGATGAGATGACACAGATGATGGCCACTGCACTGGTGGGTTGCTTGCTCACTCCGTGCACTCCAAGTGACTCCATTCGCACTCCAGCCGTTCGGGTATTGCTTTTTGGCGTATTAGGAGTGACTCCATTAGCGTTAGACTATACGGAGTGGAGTAAATGGAGTTCACTCCAAAAGTTCCACCTCGGAAAGAGAATTTTTTAGAGTAGGCATGCGCAGAAGTGAAATGTGTAAATCTGATTTTGAAATTTATGAAACATGATGAAAAAAATCAATATCTCATCATAATGCAAATCTCCAAAAGGCACCCCTGATGCGTCATCAAGGTACCCATTACCAGGCAACCTATTAACGTTAGGAACCTTGGGCTAGGCTCAAACCCAAGACTTCAGGAAACTCAAGGATAATACACACTACTAATGCTTATCGCTCATCGGCTGTTTTGGAAATAGGTTGCCTGGATAACTGTATTACGTCATTTGGACTGCCTCAACAATAATTCCTTTCTCCATATGGCACCCCAGATTCGTCATCAAGTTACCCATTACCAGACAACGTCAAGACGAGAAACGACACTGAGGCTTTGGCATAGTGGGGGCTTGAGATTTGCAGTACACAGGCTTAATGAGGATAGGCTCTATCCTGTAGTAGTAGTGTGTATTATCCTTGCAGGAAAACTGGGCTGCGTTCAAAAACGGCCGAAGCCAAGCCAAAATTGGCATATTGCGTTCAAGTTCGGCTCCAGCGTGCCAAAAACGGTTTGCTTTACACGTTCAGAATCGGCCGCGGTAAAGTAACTTTTGGAGGTGCTTTTGACTGAGTCTAGAAATGGTTATACAAATTTTGATTGGATGAGACCAAATTCGATATGGCGTGGCGGCCAGCAAGTTAGTTTTGAATATGTGTTTTCATGCATATTTCAATTATTTTGCTTCGAGTTTTGCTTGCAGCTTTGATTTTGATTATTCAAAAATATTTGTAGGTACGTAAACTATTGAGTTGGGCAGAAACTAGATATTTTTTTGTGTGTTTTCGTCCATGTGTGGTCGCCACGCCATCTTAGCATTGACATCTTTGAACGCACTCCTGAGGTCCAAAAGTAACCACTTCTCCAGGAACCAGAGTAATTAGTAGGTAATTAGTTTACTTTCGGATCGCTTTTCTGTCGTTGCCGCATCTTTATTTCTGGTTGAGGAGCGATGATTAAGGGCGGGTATTATAAAACTACTTTGAGAGTTAACTTAAGTTAACTTCTGGAATTACGTTATTCAAAAAGTTAACTTCAAGTCAACTGTCAAAGCAGTTTTATAATACCCGCCCTAAGGCTTACTTTTCATGCATCCGTTTTCCGACGAAATATGTCCGAAAAATCTTCTATTTTGACATATTTTTATACGATTATGTCAAAATAGAATGTTTTTCGGACATCTTTCGTCGGAAAAACGGATGCATGAAAATCCAGCTTAACCCTCAGAATTGACTGAATTTGACTGATTTCCCAAAATTATAAATAACAAAAAAAAATAAAGTCTGATTTTTTTTTTAAAGATATTTCCCCAAGTCAAAAATTTAGTAACTTTGGCCGAGTTCGTTTTTGTCATCTTTTTCGTCGATTTGCTCCGAAATTTTGACAGGCACGTGATTTGTAAATTAAAACTGTCTTATCTATTCACGTGCCTGTCAAAAATTCGGAGCAAATCGACGAAAAAGATGACAAAAACGAACTCGGCCTTTGTTGGCAACGGCAACACAAGCCTTTTCTACACAAAAAATTTGAAAGCATTGACAATTTTACATTATCTTGCCAACATAATGTCATATACCTTGCGTTCGGTATTTTGCTCAAAGAGCAGAGCGTGCCGAGTAGAGCAGTAATCACATGACCAACGAGCGAACAGAGCAATTGAACGCTGTATCGGAGAGCCCAAAATTTCAATAAACGAACGCGAATGAGCTTGCACCGAGTACACTTTTCAAATAAACGAACGGTAAATTCAAGCTCGGAGAACTCAGATCAAATTACCGAACGCACGGTTTGACTTTTATCTTTATCAAAAAGTTAACTTCAAGTTAACTGTCAAAGCAGTTTTATAATACCCACCCTAATCAGGTGCGTACTACTGACACTTTTTACCCTGACCCGTCATTAATGTCGCACTTTTTACACCATTCGTACCGTTCAGCGTTCCATTTTCCGGTGTACTTTAGATAGTTGCGTTCCAAAACATAACTACACCGCACTAACGCTAACCGGTTCAGACAAATCGTACGCACCATAATTTGAGCATATCAATACTAATTTCTCATATCGATATGTATTGATAAAGATCATGCAAAATAAGGCCTTGATGGACGAACAAAGATTTCTGAATCAAGGGGGCGGATTACGAACTCTCGATTCGAACCGAAACCACCATGAATTTTGAACGCACTCCATGCAAATGCATCAGAATGCGTTCGAAATCCATGGCGGTTTCGGTTCGAGTCGAGAGTTCTTAATCCGCCCCAAGGCAGAAATATCGATATCGCATCGAAAGTATCGATATTTTTTCATAAACGTCAAATATTTTTGTGAGGTTAGGAGGATTAGCTTCTTGGTTGTTGTTAAAATTTCCTTAAAAAAGAAATCATTTGAAAAGCAGCTCCTAAAATAAATAAAAATGAGTTACTTTGGTCTTGACCGTATTTTTAAGTTGATGAAAACCATAAAAGATTACGGAGGCCTCAGAGCTTCGCTTTACAAACTTTATAGGTACGATTTTCTTGTTTTTGTTATGTAACATTTTTTTTACTATAAAAACACCCATTTCTATTGTTTCTAGAATAGATAACTTGCGGCCAGGAAGATTGGTGGCTACTGACAAGTTTGGTAACAAATATTATGAAAACAACGCGTATTTCTACGGCCGTAACAGATGGGTCGAGTATGCCCCGAAATATGGTAAAAATGTTCATTTATCCTATGAGCTACTGCTCAAAAATTTATTCATTTAGGCTTAGATTACGATGCCAGTCAAGTTCCAGCTGAATGGTATGGTTGGTTGCACTACAAAACCGACTATCTGCCATCAGAAGATCCCGGCAGGCCTAAATATAAATGGATGGCGGAATATACAGAAAATTTAACAGGAACTAAACTACAATATATGCCCTATACTACTACCAATCCTAAAATTCAGGCTTGGGTTCCACCTTCCAAAAAGTAATTCGTATTTTCGAGCATAACAAATATTTGTACATAGAGTTTAGAAATGAAATATAGAAATCAAATTAATTATAAAGACTTTTTGAGATTTAGTTTGGCGATTGCTTTGTGGTGATACACCTTTATGTTTCAATACCATGTCTATCTCACTACTACTACTACTGCAATTTAATCGACATTAGGGACAAGCTCCTGAGACTTGATAGGTTTGATACTGATCCCAGCTCATCAAATGCGGCGAAGGAATGGTTTCACTGGAAAACTACAGTCCAGAACTTCATCTTGTCAGTAAAGGATGTGTAGAGGAAGCACAAAAGCTGCAGCTGCTCACAAACTATGGAAGTCACAACTTGTTCGAATACATTTCTGAAGCAAAAACCTACACTGTGGCTGTGAGTATTTAAACATCTATATAAAACCACAAAATGAAGCATTTGCAAGACATATTCTTTCTACGAGGAAACATCAGCATGTAGAAAACATGAGCCAGTACATTCAAATTTTGAATCACCTCAGCAAACATTGTAATTTCAAAAACGTAACTGCCAAAGAGCATCGCGAACTTTCCATTAGAGATGCATTCATTAGCAACTTATTGTCAAATGAAATTCTTCAACGCCTCTTGGAAAAGGTAATATAACTTTAGATGAAGTAACATCACAAGCTTTATCTCTTGAATCTGCTCAAAAACATTCTGAGGTAGGTATACCAAATAGCTTCAACAAGCTTCATCAATTCTAGTAATGCGGAAAATCTTTAAGTGCAGCAACAAAGATACACTTTTTAGAGTGCTACCGGGAAATTTTCTACATGCTATTATTGTGGAATTAGAAACTCAAACTTCTCTACGTACACAAAGCAAAGGTGTGTTGTTAACCTCAACATTCTTGATCATCAGTATGCAAACGTAAAAGTTTCAATTCTACCATACCTCTGTGCTGATATTATCGTTGGTAATGACATTTTTATTTTTGAGCAACATAAAACGTTGACCGTTTATTTTGGAGGACGAAAATCTGTATGACTGTACTTGAAACAAAGCTTTGTTTTCTAGCTCCTGCTGAAATTAGACCTCCACAATTAATCGCAATCGCAATGTAAACCAATCGCTACAAAATCGAGAAAATTTTCACATGATGATGCCAAATTTTTTTCAAGTAAAGTACAAAAGCTTCTTTCAGAAGGTATCATTGAAGAAAGTACGTTTTCCTGGCGAGCATAAGCTGTGGCACAAGTTCTTGTGACAAAGGACGAAAATCATAAAAAGAGAATGGTTGTTGACTATTCTCAAACAACAATCAATACTTATCTTGATGCTTATCCTTTACCTAATATCGGAGGGTTGGTACGAACAGTCTCAAAGTTTGACGTTTTTAGCACTATTGCCCTAGAAAGTATGTATCACCAGTTCCCTATAAGAAATGATAAAAAACAGTTTACTGCTTTTGAAGCTGATGGAAACTTGTACCAGTTTAATTGTATCCTTTTTGGAGTGACTAACGGCGTAGCTTGTTTTCAAAGAGTCTTTGATACAATAATCAGGCAAGAGAATCTAGAAGTCGTCTATGTATATTTCGATGATAGGTTGTATATATTTCAGACTTAAAATAGAGTTTCATAGCGTTATCAAAATCTTAAATCTAGGTTACAATCAATTCCAATTACAATTATTAAAATACTATATCACTTAATGGGTATATCATATCTGTATAAAAAATTTTAATCATTCTTTATAAAAGAACAGTAACAAGAGATATTTGTTTCATCTTTTAACAGCCGTTTTCTGAGGGAAATCAAAGTCGGTACAGTTTGTTCCTCATACATTTGATAAATCTTCCTTCTCAATAGATCTATGTCATTTTGGTCAATGCTTCTAAATAAGATAAAGGAGTTTTTGTTAAAGTAGACGTCTCTGCTAATGCGTTCGTTGAATTAAAATTTCTACTCAACAAAGATTGATACACATTTTTAATTATTTGTTTGGCATCGATAGATAAATGCTTTCTTCGAAAAATGTCACTTGAAGATGCCCCCCTATCAGTACACTCAAAAGGACGCCACATAATACCACAGATAAGTCCAACTGAAAACTACTCTCTGGAAGACTACTAAAAACTAAAATTATAAAATCAGTTGCTACTATTTATATTTTGGTTATTTTGACCTGATATGCAATATAGACATAGATATTCTCAAAACTCAGAATAATCTAGGTTATCAGGTATGTAACATACCTACCTGTTATAAATAGAATTTGTGATAATTACCTGAGGATCCGGCTCTGCTCGAAAAAGGTTTAAATTTGGGGTTTTATGATTTATTACTTGGTCAAAAGGATAATGGGTGTTAATTTATTGCAGTAAGAGTCAACGGTATATTGTTGCGCGTACTATACTAAGTAACTATGGACAGTTAAGACTATTTAAAACAAGTTAAAAATCCAAATCTGTGATTTGATATTGCAAAAATTCTTCTATCGAATAAAAGCACTTACTTAACAAGAATTGCTTGATTTTATTTTTAAATGGCTTTATTGAAATGTTTCGTATTGTAGGGGGCAGTTTGTTGAAAAATGCGGGTGCATAATATCGCGTTGCGCTCCAGGAGGTTTTTAAGCGCGAAAAGTCAATCTGCACGTTATAACGTTGGCGAGTGTTGTAATTATGGACCTCTTCGGTACGAGTGTAGTTTGAAGAGTTGTTATGAAAATATAGTAGATACTCTAGGATATATTGTGCTGGAAGAGGTAATATTTTGAGGACCCTAAAGGATGGTTTGACATCATCTCGGTATTTGATGCCGGCTACAATTCTCACTGCTCTTCTCTGCAGACGAAAGATGCGAGAGGTATGACATGAGTGTCCCCATGCTAGGAGTCCATAGACGCTCACTGAATGAAATAGACCATAATATGCCATTTTTGATGTTTCTTTATCTACAATTTTCGATATATTACGAAGAACATAGATTGCGGAGCAAAGTTTTTTTGAAATAATGTTGACATGCTGCTCAGAAGTCAGCTTCGCCTCCAATGTAACTCCTAAAAATTTGATTTTTTCTGGGTTGTCTTGAATTGTAGTTTTCTTGAGAAAGAAGATCATGTTTTCTGTTTTGCTTTGATTGACATTCAGTAGATTGGAGTTGAACTAGTCAACAGCAGTTTCGACATGTCTCGTCATCTCCGTTTTGGCAACGTCCAGTGTTTTGGCTTTTATGGAGAGTCCATTATCGACCGCGTAGATAACAACCTGGCATCCGGACAGGGCAGCTGCAAGGTCATTTATGTATATAAGGAACAACAGTGGGCCCAGTGCCGATTCCTGAACCACGCCGTGCCTCATGACTCTCTCCTCTGAGCGCCTACCCTCCATCTCCGTGATCTGCCTTCGTCTCGAGAGGTACCCAAATATCAGTTTCACGCTGAATTCACAGAGCCTGTAGTATTTTAATTTTTCTATTAGGATATCATGAGATACACAGTCGAAGGCTTTGGAGAGGTCACAGAAGGTGGTGGACACAATCTGCCCCTCCTCCAAAGCCCCCAACTATGAAATCACATAGGTTTAGTATTGCCCCAGTGGAGGTTCTGCCCTTTCTAAACCCAAACTGCTCCTCTATGAATAAGTTGTTTCCCTCAAAGTACATGTTGAGTTGGTCCTTCAAGAGAACCTCAAGGATCTTGGAGAAGACAGGGATCAAAGAAATTGGTCTGTAATTTGATGGTGATGTTTTATCTCCACTTCTGAAGATTGGCACAGTTTTACTAATTTTGAGCTCTTCAGGGTAAACACCTTCTTGGATACACTTATTGAAAATAAGTATATGTATAGGTATAACAATTTGTGGAGAGAATCAAAAAGAACACGATAAGAATCTATCAGCTTTTCTGGCAGCTGTTAAAAAGTAGAACTTAACCTTGAACTTAACTATGAATAAAAGTAAAAGTTCGTTGAACAAAAAGACAATTAAACTTGATCCTGCAAGATCTCTACAGACTCTGCCAGTACCAACTGATAGAGCTTCACTTCGAAGAGCTGTGGGCATGATCGCTCATTACTCTGAATGGATACCTAAATTCTCCAAGAAAATTCATAGAATTGTTAGTACCAGAAACCTTCCTATCCTATGCAAGAGCCTGCTATCACCGATTTCCACAACTTGAAAACGGAAGTAGCAAAATCAGCTGTCACTGCCAATGAAGAAAACATTCCATTTGTGGTGGAAACAGACGCCTCCGAACATTCAATAGTCCTGTGTAGCATAGTACTTAGTACAATAAAAAATGAAAAAATTCAACGCTGGAGACTCGAACTTCATGCTATTCATATGGCATAGTCTACCGTCCAGGAAATGGGAATATCGTAGCCGATACTTTTTCTCGGGTATGTGAGGGCTTCAACTGAGAATAAATTTTACTTACGAGTTACATGATGCACTTTGTCATTCTGGAATGACTAGAATGTTTCAGTGGATTCGATCTCGAAATTTAACTTATTCCATAGACGATGTACGAAAATTGACCCCAGCTGCACTATTCGTAGAGCAAGCTGAATTTTTAAGGCGCCATCCGCAACTGTCTCTCCGTACCCATGAAAATACCTCAGCAACTCCAGCTTCAAGATTCAAGTTTTGTCGTTTTTGAGATATCAGCATTTTTAGATATTTTTGGGCAATATTTGAATTGTTCCTAAAACAAATGGTTTTTTTTACTTTAGCCTTTCCCAATTTTTTTTTCCGATATTCCTAATATGCACTCTTTGGGAAAAATACGGTAAGTAAGAAAAACCGAATAATTGATACAAAGAAATATGTAGCCCAGTTATGTGTAAAAATACATGGATTCAAAATATCTAAAAATGGTAATACTCATCTCAAAAAACGGCGAATCAAACAAACAAAAATATTTATATTTTTTCATTCCACTATGTTCCATTTTGAATTTCACTTTACCCCACCAATAGGGGCAAAATGGAATTTCGACATGTTGGTAGAAAATATTTTTTATTTACGATTACCTAATCGATGAGGCCTTTACAATTTAGAAAAAATTATAAGATATGTGAATGAAATGTAACAAATTTGGTGACTTCTTATTTTATTCGTTTACAAATAGGAGAAAAGAATATGTTATCTGTTCTACGTTGCCCCACTCTCCCCTAGTATAAATTTTTGCCATAACTAATAATTTCCTAATTTTGTCTGATATCCTTGTGTGAGAATATTTACGACGCTACTGAGAATTCGGGAATCACTATTCAGGCAAATTTTGTCTGATGATAATTTCACAATCACAACTAAAAATAAATGGAGGCCGGTAGGTATAGGTATGTAAAAATGGAAACATTAATATGCACCCAAAAATTGTTGATGTTATTTTACAAAACTAGTTTAATTGCTCAAAAAGGTAATATCTATTCACAATCCGATGTCCAAAGGTACAGGTAAAATTTATCACCTTTCAATGCTATTTGATAGGAAAGGTGATAAATTTACCTTTACCTTTAGACTACGGATTGTGAATAGGATATATCCACCTTTATCATAAATTTGTTGAATCTAACTACCAAGTAGGTTCCTACTTATAAATCAAATACGTATATAGATGAATGGTTGACAACTTTTTCATAAAAATTAGTATATTTCGCAGTTTTGATATGAAAGACACAAATTTCAGGAACTACAAAACAGTAGTCAAAAGTTTTTCACTGTAACTATACAGCAAATTTAGTGGCAGATGCCTAATTCAGATTTAATTTCCCATTCTTTATCTGAAACTACTACATTCATGTACTTCAGTTGATCCCAAAAATTAATTATGAATTTTGCTTAAATAATCTCTTAATTTTAAAACTCAAACATGGATAATTTTTAATTTTATTTTTCGGAAATGCTTAATAATGCAACAAAATAAAGTGAATAGCCATAGGTAGGTACGTACTTACTTACTTATCTTGTAAATACATAGTATATGTAAGTACGTATGTGGTAAGTACCTACCTATATAATTCGATAAGTTATTTCTGTTGCGGAAATAACCCACAACAAGTTTAAAATGTTATTATTTGTAGTTTATCAATATAATCAATTTCTATTATTTATCATAAAAATAATATTCTAAAAAAAGATTCCTGTAAAACTGGCAACAGCAGCCCTTTTGAATCGGTAAAATTACAGATTTCTTCATTACCCTATGAGCAATGGATCTATTTTGTTGTTGTGATTGGTCAGTTGCCACCCAACATCCCTGATTTATGCGACCTGCTCCGAAAAAGGCAGTCGACTCGACGCACGGCACGGTACACAACAGTAGTAATCAAGAAGCAGAAGAGTAAGCAAAGACTCTGCACCCTCTCGCCTCTGAACGCTCTACAGAGGAAAAAACCCCCAGAAAACCCCCGTTAGTACGCGAATTATAGTAAAATACTACTCCCAGTGTCTCAAGGCCTGACATGGTCTATATTATCAACGATATTATTGATTACAATTCATGTAATTAACCCCTAAATTGTTGCAAGTCATCTCGGACCTAGCAAAATTCTCTACTACGCCTGTTTAAGGTTATTCCTGTCTCACTCTCGACGGGCTTCAACTCTGTATATCATTGTGTTCTCTCTCTTAGTGGAAAATCCCTTAGCTGACAGTGCAAATTACTACGAATAGTGATAAATGGATAAATAATCACCATATGGATTTACCGGTATGAACTGGATTAAGCAAGTAAGACCGTTTCAATTTCTCAAAACAGTCGAACAATAAATTAATAAATACTGAATACCGATTCGGTTGAAATGCACTATAAATTGAAGTGTTTGTTCTAACCTTTAATACAGAAATTTGGTTTTCACACTCGTGAAATGAACATTAATTTGTAAATTTGTATATAGAAACTGAGCATATATATATAGACTTTTCTTGCACTTATTGTTTACACACTTCAGCAGAAAAGTGCTCAAATTATTAACTCTCAATAAACAAAAGAACTTTCAAGGATTATAAACATTTTGTGAATACAGTGAGCTGATTGAAGTTCACGAATTATTTGTGTTGTGCTCTCGTAAACCTAATTAGTTAATTTGTGTTCTCGTTCATTGAACATTTAACCATAATTGATATTATTATTATGAAATTTCACTATTTTTTATAAATCAAGATACTTATTTACTCGCTTATTTACTTTAGATTAGTATAAAATTTGTAGTTCGACTGGACGTCCAAATAGGAATTATTAGATAGGATTTGATTGCTGATTAAACCGAATTAACTTCATTTATTAATTAAATTGATAACTATTCTATTTCAGCGTTTTATTTGTATAAATGAGAATCAAGGCACCCCTAGTTCAATACAAGGCTTAAATGATCCAACACCTAATGGTTAATTTTTACAGTCAGTCAAAGTAAAAACTTTTGACATCCCTGGTGCGGTAATGATTAGAGTCCACAAAAGGGTAATAGCTAGTTCCGTCACAATTTCCAAAAAAAAAAAGAAACACAAACAAGTAGATAATACAATAATAGATGTATTTATTCCTCAAGATTGACAATTCAATTGTGATTAATTCATTACATAAATACAAATACAAATAGGTAGGTATTCAAATTTTTAAGGTGTTGGCATAAACAAAGCAGCCATACAGGCAGCTTCACATACTCCAAAAGCCGAGTTACAAGCAGCTAATGCTGGCGTAGCTACGATAACAGCCCCTGGAACAGTTCCGAAAGTAAATCCAGCAGCTGCAAAACAAGCCACTGCGACAGCTGCGCATCCTGCATAGCAAACTCCCGCTGCAGCAGGCCCAGCTTCGGCTGAGATGCTGCACATGTAGAACAGCAAGATGGCGAATAAAGCTGTTTTGGTTACCATGGTGGTGGCCATCATTAATTAGCTCTTGAAAATGGTGGCCTGGTTTAAACGCTTAGCTCACAGCTTACTGAAATTAATAGAAAATGATATTACAAAAATATATTGCACTTTAATTTACTTACAATCCGTTTTCTCAAGGTTTAAGTCTGTCTGCACAAAACACTACTAGGTACTTTCACTTTCTTTCACAGCTGTCGGGTCAATGCTGGGGGCATAGAAATAAGCAGCGCATTTAAAGCCGGCGAGTAATTCACTTAAATAAATCGGGGGAATCCCCTTAACTGATAGGGCAAAGCTGTGTATCTAATATGAAAACATCGTCATTTTGGATACGAATTATTAGGGAGATATCGTAAACGGAATTATTAACGACTGTGTCCGTTACTCTCAGACAGTAGCAGGTATTTCATTTTTGTACTCTTTAACGGATATAAGAAGCCATTTAATTCTTTTTATTATTATTGGTATGGTATTGATATTATCATTCAAATTATATTTGAATTCACCGAGGTAGGTATTTCATATTTAGGATGTTTTACTCTGTGTTGTATGCTTGGTTTTGACAATATTATTTATGGTAATAGGATTCATACCTAGTCCTTTCCTATTGCTCTCTGACATGAACATTTTGTCATGAAACGTTTGTCTCTATAAGGTCTAAATTATGGACCAACTGGTAAGTGTCTGGTTGTTACCTAGCAGGTACTTTCTATTCTCTAGTGCATAGAAAGTACCTGCTAGGTAACAACCAGACGTTTACCAGTCAATCCATAATTTGGCCCTAAAGAAAATAGAAATAATTGTATTACAGTACCTACTGAAAATTCAAAAAACTTTATCAGACAATAGACAATAATGAAAATACCTCAAAACAAATGTGGAGGACTTTGTGTTTTCAGAGAAATACTCAATAGTGTATCTTTACCTACATAATAATATAGTATTTTTAATTAATATCCATTTGGAATAACCTCATCCATTGTTTATCAAGCATGAATCAAATGGAACAAAAAATTAATACCAATCACAAATCACTAAAACGACTGGTAATAAAAGAGTGAAGGTACCTTCTTCCAAATCGGTACTAAAAATACTATACCTAGGTACCTAATAGTCATAGATTTTTCTTCCACCTCAACTATAGAAAACTTAAAAGCAAATTGAATAACCTATTCGAAAACAAAACTTGTAGAAATTGAAATTATACTTCGAATGCTCATAATGGATATTCGAATCTGCATCAGTGTTACCGATATCTCTCTATTTTAGCCTATTGGGTGGGATCCAAATTGAACAACACAACAAAAAATCTGTGCTCTAGGCAAGTCTGCGTGTGAAATACTGTGGCCAGTGGCGTGCAGTATTATTTTCGAAGATCATAATAAAACATTAAAACTTGGGTAGGGTGAGGTCAATGGTGAGGTGAAGATGTCTTCGTATATATTCACGGCCGGATTTAGGCACAGGCAACCGAGGCAACCGCCTAGGGCACAAGCGTCTGCGGATCACACGGAGGCAACGCCACGAATATGGTTGGAAGTGTACGAACGAAAATTTAAAATTTGGCACGAAGCGACAAACGGCGGTTCACTAGCATTTTTGTTTACCTTCTCTTTATTTATTTGACACAAAATTATTATTTATAATTCGATAGTTTGTCTTATTATCAATGACATGAGAGGGAGTTTCGAGAAAGTCTCACCTCCCCAAGAATTTAACATTTAATAATAAGGAAGACTTTAATGAGTAGAAAAGAAAATTAGAGCAAGATACCATCAGAGCACAGTTTATAAAATATGGAACTGTTAAGAGGAAAAATGGTACAATAATTATTTATTTTATTTATCGTCGAGATGGAAATTTACATAAACGCATTAAAACATTACGTAGGTATCACCGTATCACGCTCACATAAACAGGCTTTATTGAATATTGACTTATTATTTAATAGCCTCGCTCGCAAGCTCGCTCGGTCATAAAATTATTCGTACAATAAAGCCTTTCTTTATTGTACTTGATATTTAATGCTATTTATATAAATAGCTATTATTCAACAATCTAGATTAAATACTGTCTTTCAAAATCTTACAAAAACAGCTTGGTTGTGATACAGCCTACAAATCAACTGTGAAGGGCGAAGGCGAAGGGCCATGTATACTTATCAATTATTTTTTTGTACCCGGGTCCCGCTTGATACCCCATCCCGAAAAAATTAATTCTCATTAGTCTTTCTAAAATTTTTAGTTAAATATCGATATTTCACGAAATGGAAATTGCAAAATAATCGTAGAATATAACAATAATATTCATCAGGAATCAGGATTCAGGACAAGGAGGCGGAGGCGTCAAAAAACAAGCAGCAAAAACGTTATGGGCGCTGTATTCGTGGCGTTGCCTCGGTGTGATCCGCAGACGCTTGTGCCTAGGGCGCCACAATTAGGGGCGCCAAATTGACAACAAATTTATTTCGAGTGAACAAGTTAAATAAAAAAAAATGTTCTAGGTATATCACAAGGATCATCTTTGAAGGATGATAGGGAGATAATAAAAGATCCAACAACATTTGCGAATCATCACTGTCACCTGTTACCGCTCATCAAGGCACTTTCGATCATCTTTGTCTCAAAACAGATTGAATGGACTTTTGCTCTCAGAATTGAAAATGTTATAACCTTCGACCATTGAACACACTCGATCCCGATGGTTATAACATGTTAGATGGTGTAGATTATAGCAGGTCTGTTCTCACAGGAATCACAAACCAGCCAGAGCGTTTTTGATTGGCGCAAATCTCCAACAACCAGTTTTATGACTGTTTTCAACCAATGAAATTCCCTGTGGTTTGTGATTTCTGTTAGAATAAACCTATCAACGAACTCATCTCTGACTTTGCAAGACGTAAAGCCAGACTGGTTCATTTTTAGTGTTGATAATTTAATTAGTTTTGGAAAACTATTTTTGTGTTTAGTTAATTTGAAAAATACATATTATACAGGATGTCCGAAAAATAGTGTAAAAGCTCTCCACTACGTAGTAGGGGATCCTTTGAGTAACCCTGGAAAAATAATTTAAAAAAATCCTTCTCGTCCGTTCTTGGAAATATGAAGAGGTAAATGTGGAAATTCAACTTCCTTATTTTTGATGTTTCTTTCAAATTGCAATATTTTGTACAAAGTGTAATTAAAGTGTTAGATATCTTTTGTTGATTCATTACAAATTAGTTTTAAAAAATTTCTTGTTAACCTTTAAAACGCATTATGAAAATTGCAAAATCTCTAAATTACAACAGGAAAAATTGATCTGACAACATTTTTCAGTCACCTTCGAATTTTCCAGGTAATTTCCCTTGTGAGAGGGATATTTCCGGGTGCAATTTCCAATGCGACAATGCCGCGCGGCGTCTGTCGGAAACCCACCTTTAGGTTGTCATTTTTGGCATTGAGACCAGCTTTTCCATTTAAAATGCATTGATGTCAGAAATCTGACAAAGTGTATATTTTTTGACAAACGCAATTTAAATGGGAAATATCAATAACAATCACCATCACAGAACACATCATCATAATTAAAATATTCGCCACAACTTATAATAAATAAACTTCAAACTCGGGAAATTTCCTATCAAAATATAACACGTGCATAAAATATTTCCTAAGGGAAATTTTTAAAAATTTGGTCTTTAGTCAATTTTTTTAAACAAAACCATTCGTGCATAGCGCCAAAGAAATCATGATTTTGTCAAAAAATTGGCTTCAGACAAAATTTTCAAAAATTTCCGGAAATATTTTATGCACTAGTTATATTTCTACTGGTAATTGCATAGGTATTTAATTTAATTCTGTGACAAATTGTCAACGGGATATTTTCAGTGTTGCCGATTTTAATAAACATTAAAATGCTAATAACTTTCTTAAGAATGCCACCAGATTTTTTAAATTATTTTTCTGGAGTTCCTTGAAGTGTCTCCTACTACGTAGTAGAGAGCTTTTACGGTATTTTCCGGACACCCTGTATATCTATTTTTTTTTATATCTACAATATAGATCCGTTCTCACAGACATCACATATAGTCTGGCAAGTGGTATGTTGATAGCGACGAAAGGGGGAAGAAAAGTGGGGCGTAACCCAAGCATATTCGCTGACACCTCAACTGACACCGCTTGATGACAGCCATGTCTTTGGGTTCAGTGGCACCGAAAACACCAAGGAAATGAACCAATAAAATTATTAGAATTTTTTTTAGGTTTCGCGAATAACCACGCCACTGTGCTGTCGTTCAGGCTCTAACCTTAGGCTCTAACCAATAGAATCATACTCCTGAACATTGCTCCTGAATAATCACGCCTCTCCACATCCATCATTTCGCAATGTTGTCGGATTTTTTTCTATTTCAAAATACCACACATGCCCATATAGCAAAAAAATATATGTCACCAACTTGTTTATTACAGTTTCCGTCAAGTTTGGCAAAGCAGCAAATTCTATTGCAGTTCGCCGTTTGGCTAACCAGACAATAAGAGCGAATTTCATCGGTTATAAACTATCAGAAAACTAGTTTCTGGCGATTTGCACCAATCAAAAACACTCCGACTGGTTTGTGATTTCTGTGAGAACAGACCTCATGTAATAAGTAAACGTATGATATACGCTTCTAAAAAAATGAAGTAACTTTTTTGTCTTACTCTCTAAGCGATAGCCTAAAATTTATTGTTTATCATATTGATCTTTAACCATTTTGACAAATCAATTTGAGAAGGGGGGCGCCAGCATTGAACTTTGCCTCGGCATAAAATACCTATTGGACTGGCCCTGTATATATTATCTCAAATAGACCACTATCACCAAACAGCCCGCCTAAATACCTATACATTCAAGCACTGGAGATAAATATATTAAATGACCGAAATGGCCTCAACAGCTTTACAGTCTTAAATATCAGATCATCAGATCAATGCTTTGTAGATTTAGAAACGACTATGGAACATAAACACAGAAAATTACGTTTATCAGTTCTTTTCTGATTTATGTGCTGATGTCATTATAGGTCGTGATATACAGCATCAAACCCTTGAAGTATCTTTTGAAGGTTCTTCCTAGTGTATTGACAACTCCTCATCGATTTGTAGTTTGACGTTCCTGAAAATTGATCCTCCTACACTATTTTCAAATCTATCACCAGACTGTAGACCATTTGCAATAACGTCTAGAACGTTTCTCATCAGAAGATAGACACTTGATTTCTACCGAATTTGAGAAGCTTCTTTCAAATGAAATCTTGGAAGAAAAAAGCAACTCTCCGTTGGCGGGCACAAGTGTTGGTAAATAAAAATATAACGTACAAGAAAAGGATGGTGGTCGATTACTGTCAAACCATTAACAGGTTTACATAATATAATGCTTTTCCTCTGCCTAATATTGAAGCGTGCTGTGCCAAAATTTGAGATTTTTAGTACCTAGGTACTGGTACTATAGATTTACACCAAGTTCCCATACATGACGACGCAGTATACAGCTTTTGAGGCAGATTAGTAAATTATGCCAGTTTTGAAGAATTCCTTTTGGCGTGACAAACGGAGTTGCGTGTTTTCAGCTGGTAATATAGACTAAATAATATAAAATCAGAGAATCTTGAAGGTATTCATGCATATTTATGATATATTACGATATGATGATAGAAATCAAGCCGACCATGATAAAATTTCTAAAAAAAATTCTTTCCAGCTGACTACCTACTTCCTACTTCAAAAATATGTATCTTTTATGTTCAATTCCAAACACAGGACCAGAACGTGAAAACATAGTAGCTGATGTATTCTCTCGAGTACCTATGTGCTTCAAATAGTGAGAAAGTCAGAAAACTTTATTCGATTTACATCAAGCTTAATGTCATCCTGGAATCACTAGAATGGTCCACTAAGTAAGATCTCGCAATATGCCCTGCTCTACTCTAGAAGATATTCGCATTATGTCAGCGTTTTGCCCAATCTATGCAGAATTTCGAACCTAAATTTATTGAAAATCAAAGGACGTTCATAAAACAGAATGGCATAATTTGGAAGACAATCACTCTAGCTTTGCGCTCAAGAAATTTAACACTGGAAAGCGGTTCTAGAAAATGTATTGCATTTGATTAATTCTCTTGTATGCACAGCTACTAATTCTATTCCACGTGAAAGAATATGTTCTGTCATTCCAGAAAATCAATGAATGGTACAGCAATATCTTCATGGCTAACTTCGGGAAAATTTTATATGAAAAATCATTGTTGAAGATGTTGATCTCATTGAAGCTAACTCTCAATATACACTATACACTAGTTTGAATTTCAGATGGACGAGAAGCAATACGGTTTCGCTAAAACATTTAGCTCCATGTGGTGATGATAGTCTACTGCAATCAGAAAATAATGCTGATGATAACCATGTTATAAATACGTTAACTCAGTCAGAAGAAAGTAGAGATCTTTTACAGGGACCTATTCCTACAGAACAAATGCGAGACATTGAGCAATTTATAGTGAGCAATAAACCAGCCTCAATCTATTGACTATGAGCCATAAATAGAAAACCAGATGGGTCGTGGATCAAGAACCCAAGAACTAGAAAATATCCCAAATATCTTGATGATTATGTGTAAAGTGGAACCTGGGAGAATGTGGTAGGTACCTACTTTTGATATCTAGTGCTTATACAGTGTCGTATCTAGGATAATAGGGCATCTCCCTTCGGTTAATTAAACCCAATAGTCTTTCAGAAAAGGTTCATGGGCTTCAGGAAAATTATTGATCACGTTACATTTAAATAACATTCCATTGCAAGTTGAACGAATTATTGAATTATTAATTCGTACGTACAAGGAACTGAAACCCATGTCAACGACTGTTCACCGGTAGTTATTGTAATTAGCAATCACGCACCATGGTCGCCAGACTAACATAAAATAAGGGGTTTTGGAAGATGAGGGGTCAGTCTACAGATGGAGAATTATCCGCGTTAGTTAGTTAGAGAGGAGTAGTACGTTATTACTCATCCTAGGAAAAACAAACTAAATAACTAACGCTGATAATTCATCTCGCCATCTTCCCAAACCCTTTATTTTATATTAGTCGAACGATCATGGTGCGTCATTGCTAATTACAATAACTACCGGTGAACTATCGTTGACATTGACCTTCCATGGGTTTCAGTTCCTTGTACGCACGAATTAATAATTCAATAATTCGTTCAACTTGCAATGGAATGTTATTTAAATGTAACGTGATCAATGATTTTCCTGAAGCCCATGAACCTTTTTTGGAAGCCGATTGAGTTTAATTAACCGAAGGGAGATGCCCTATTATCCTAGATACGACAATAGTTTTGTTTACCTGCATGTATGTGTTTATTAAAGCCTAATCTCTAAAGGTAATTCAGTAAATATACCATTACCTACACACATTTGAAAAAATAAGATTTATTTTATTATTGAGTTTACATTAAACTTAACAATGTTGTTAAATAAAATACACAGGAACATAAATCATATTAAAAAAAAAAACAATTTATAGCTGAAACTATATATAAAAATTCTACTGTATTATAAGATTTTTATATAAGTACAATATAGAAAATACAATATAATTAATTTGTATAGCATTATACCAAAAACAGAAGGCAAATTCTTATTTAAGGCCAGTTAGGTCCACTCTGTGAACCAGCCCCTTGACTAGATTATTAGTAACAAGTTATTTAATTATATTGGTCCCATCTCTTCTACAAGTTCTGGTCCAGTAGGAACATCTTGTAAAACCTGCTCCAAAGCGTCCTCACTAATATTTTCCAAAGGTATCATTTGCACCATTTGATCGTTTTGTAAAAAATCGAATCCTTCAATTTGCTCCTCAATAATATCATTCGGAAGTTCTAGGTTTGTTAGTGGGGCTTCTAGTGTAGGTTTTTTCTCTACATGAGTAGAAATTATGTGGCGTGTTAGGGAGGAGACAAAGTGATAAGAACAATAGCAGATGGCGCATCTGAAAAGTATTTCTGTTTCAAGAGAAAGCTTTATTATTAGGGAGAAACCTTACTGATAGTTCGCCCCAACTCCTTTATGAATCTCAATATGTCTTAGCAAATTTGAGTTCCTGGAAAAGAATTTACCGCAAATGTTACAGGTGAATTTATTATTACGGTTGCTATTTTCCTTGCTTTCGATTTCAGGTGTTTTTGTATGCTTATACATTGTATGTCTTTTCAAAGTTGCCATATCTTTGAATCTAGAAGAATAACAACATACACCAAGGATTTTAATTGAATTTAAAAATACCTTATCTGACAAATACTACAAAAGCTCGGCATAAAATGTGATTCCATATGTTTCCGGATTTGGGGTGGATTTTTAAAGCGCTGTTTGCAATCTACGCACTCATATACTCCTAATGACTTATCTTGTGAATGAGTTAATCTGGTATGTTTCTCAGCTTCGGCAAGGCTTGTGAATTTTATTAAGCATGTTTTGCATTCCAAACTGAAATTGGGAAATAGTATATTGTTTTATTAGGAGTAGAAGCTTTACTTTTTTGTGCTGAAGCAGTAGGTTTGCGAGCCGAACGTAGTGAGGCTTGCAATACTGCTGAAGCACAAAAAAGTGCTTCTACTCCGTATGCAACACACTATTTTTTCTCCAAACGAATGGGGTAAGCTCGGGGGTAACTGAATGGTTGAGCGGCAGTAAAAGTACGAGCGGCACTAAAAGTACTTTTGCTGCCGCTCCAGCGGCACTAATAGTATATTATATACCTAGGTAGAGAAGTTGGTCCTTATACAGGGTGGTCCTTCGGGAATGACATCGATTGCTTATGGGAAAACTGTGAAAGGTAAAAATTTGAAAATTTGGCAACATAGCAATGTCGATGGGGGACATCTAGGTAAAATATTTTCAAGATGGCGGCATTTCCGGTCATACCGGAAGTTGATACCAACTCGGTTATTTTAAATAGAACACCCCATATATTAATGTATTTTTGGATTCTACATAAAATTCTGAGCAGATTTCATGTAATATACCCTATACCTAAGTTCAACTGTTTTGGAAATATTGACAGTTGAAAATTGACTTTTTGCAACTTTGACAGGCTGTAAAACCTGAACAATTAATTTTAGAGGAAACCCGATTTGACATTCCTATCTTAGATTTTTATAAACTATCATTTGACATCAACTTTGAATTAAATCCATGATTAAAAATTTCAGTTAAATTTAATCTCCGTTTAAGTTCAAAGTTGGTGTCAAATGATAGTTTATCAAAATCTAAGATAGGAATGTGAAATCGGTTTTCCTCTAAAATTAACCAATTAGGTTTTACAGCTTGTCAAAGTTGCAAAAAGTCAATTTTCAACTGTCAATATTTCCAAAACAGTTGAACTTAGGTATAGGGTATATTACATGAAATCTGCTCAGAATTTTATGTAGAATCCAAAAATACATTAATATATGGGGTGTTCTATTTAAAATAACCGAGTTGGTATCAACTTCCGGTATGACCGGAAATGCCGCCATCTTGAAAATATTTTACCTGGATGTCCCCCATCGACATTGCTATGTTGCCAAATTTTCAAATTTTTACCTTTCACAGTTTTCCCATAAGCAATCGATGTCATTCCCGGAGGACCACCCGGTATACCGAGCGCTTTTATAAACCGAGGCGCTCGCGCCGAGGTTTATAATGAGTGAGGTATATAATGACTTTCTCTACCGAGGAATATATAGAATTTTTTTTACTACTGCTAGTAGAAAATGAAAAATTTGTTTAAAATCTGTGCTCCAATTATTTTTTTTGAACGCCCTCTTGAAAGTGCTGCCCTCTATCAACAGCTTATGATAACTTCCTATGTACCTACAGAAACCTGTATTTTTTTTCAAATTGACGTATGGAAATGAAATTGAACCAATAGAAACATGACAATATCCTTGCGTCATGACGTCATTTTCATTATTAACCTAGGTATTTTTTCATTATTTTCATTATTCACCTAGGGAGAGAAATTCAATTTTTTCCTAGAAAAATAGATTGAATAATGACAATTTCTCAGGTTAGTAGTAAAAAAAAGTACTTTTGCTGCCGCTGGGGTTGCCAAGCAGCATAGAAATTATATTTCTACCACCTCGACAGGTGTTAACCTGCTGGATTTGCCTACCAGCATAGAAATTAAATTTCTGACATCTTGACAGGGGTTAACAAAGTGACGTTTTTTTGACGTTTGGAGAAAAAATATTTTTGTGAAAAGGAATAGGTAGTTATTTGTTTCAAATGATTTTTGTTCATGCATTCAATATAATATTATCCTTAGTATGCATACCTACATGTATTACTATCATATTTTTTGTTTAATTCAAACTTACCCGGATCCAAAATTAGGTGGAGGATCACTATGTTGCTGCATAGAATGTATTTTCAACAAAGCGCTGGTTCTATAAGATAACCCACAGGTTTTACATTGAAACATTGATGGTGGATTTATGGTGACTCTTGTGTTTTTTTTGCCTGCTGCGTTTTGTGTTATCTCTATGGTGAGATTCGCGAAACTAAAAAGAATTAAATAAACTTGTCACAGAAGAAAAATTACCTTGGCTTGTTTTTCGTTTATGGCAACTCTGAGGAAAATCTATGACTTGGAGACAAAAAAAAGTATGTTTGAGTTTTGTCTCAGATTTGTTAAAACAAAAAATTGAGCTCATTTCGTGTGTGTTTTTTTTAGACATTAATCACTAACCACCTTTTGAACTTTACCTTTCATCTGTTCCAGACAGATTTTTTTTATTATCACTTCCAACTTGATTTTGTCCTAAAATAATCTCGCTGGAATTACTATCAAGCATAAATTTCCAATTCACCATAAATTTACCAAGAGAACTGTCCAACTTTTCCTCTTTAATCATATGCCCAGCACAATAAGACACATTTTTAGAATATTTTTTGGTTTCTTGATTAAAAACTTTTTCCACCATCGTTACAATTAGGGTTTTATTTTTCAACATTTTCACTCCGCTGTCCATATCCATTAAGCCACCTAATACTTTTGAAATTACCTCAAAAGCTTCTCTTTTTATTTTCTTTTTCTGAACGATGACTTTCAAATTTGGTTGGTGTTCAGATTTGTCCACAAAAGTCGTTTCAGTCTCTGTTAGCTCAGATGGTGTCACTGGCTCAGTTCTGATGGATGTTGTCTTGACTGCTGGTAAGTCAATTTCCACTGCTGATTCAGATGTCACTGGCTCAGTTTGAAATAATGCAGGCTCAGTTTCTGCTACTGTTAAGTCAGTCTCTGTTATCACTGGCTCAGTTTCAACTGCTGCTGGCTCAAGTGACTGGCTTTTCTTTTTAGCAGAGATTATTGATTGCGTATTTATTGGTGATTTAGCGGGATGTTTTTTAATTATATTAGTAATTTTTGCAACTAAGTTTTTTCCTTTGTCAGTTTGCCCAATGGGGATTTTTTTGTTTATTAGTTTTTTTAGATCCTTGATAGAAGTTTTGTTTCTTGTGGCTAAAATTTACAACATAATTTGAATAACGCCACACATTATTATCATGTTACCATCACATCTCATTGTTTTGCGGTTATTATTAGAAGCAAAGTTGCGTCCTTTTTTAAATTTCTTCAAATGCTCGGAAATACTTATGACTTCTCCAGTTGCAATATTTTTTCCTGGAAGCAAAAGCTTGACTTCACCTTTAATTTAAAAAATAATTTACCTTTAATCTCAGAAATTTTACGCTTCTTTGTATCAGTTGTAGTTGAAAAACTGAAACTCCCATCCGCTTCTACAGTACATTCGAAATCCCCATTAACCTGATATTTTTTCATCAATTCCTGCAAATCGACCACTTGCCCATTTTCATCGACAATAACCTCATCATCAGCTAATTGAATGAATTGTGTAAATTCATTGGGATTCTCAGCTATTTCGTATTGCTCTGGCATTGGTTCTAGAATATTGTTTTCTTGTTGAATATAAAAGATTTGGTTGTTTGGTTCAGACTCAATGGCCGTTTCTTCTTTTACATAAGTTATGACATTTTGGGTGGTGTCCTGGATGTCTTCAGGTACCATGATTTGGAAGAATTGATTTTGTAATTCTGTAATTTAATTAAAAAAAATAGATAGGCATAGATAATTTCTCTAGAGTATGATAGAACTAAGGTATAAAACAGCGAATTTTTTCAGTAATATACAGTACATATTTATTCCATTTTAAGTGTTTTATCTCCAAGGTATTTTATTTTGTTACATTCACTCAAAGGTTCCAGGGTGATTCTGGTCAATTTGCATCAGTCAAAGAAGATGCTATATATTACGTTTTTTTTTCAATGTTGATACACAGTTTAAAAGTGTCTAAGTAATTTTTAACTTAAGCAACGACAGACCTTAACTTTTTCCACATACCTATCTTCCCAGGATTTACAAACAAAGACAATAACAGTATCATCAGTATAGGATGATCTTATCACCCATGTCAAAATCGTAAAGTGCATTCATGCAAATTAAAAGTAAGAGGCCCAGTACCCATGTTCCACAATTTTTTTGGCTCCCTGATAATATTTCCAAAATCTAAGGGTTATGCATCTGTCATCTGTGGTTTCTATTTAAGTTATTAGTGACCTCATCAACAAATTCATAAATCACATTAGATGTACTTCCGCACTCAATAATTCCAAACTGGTTCTTGGAGAAAATTTAATTAGGAATTCCATAAGTCTGGACTCAAGACATTTTTCAAATATCAAAATTAATGGGGCGATAGGTTCCTATTCTCCTTTCATCTCCTGATCTATACAAATGGAGATTAGAGTTGAACATCGACAGTTTCGAAAACTTGGTTCATGATAATGCACCAAGAGGATCCACGAGTTTATCATGTAGAATTTGAATTATTTTTGAAGATATTCGATCAAAAACTGGAGAGCAATTATTTAGAAATGTATTTTATCATTTCATGTCAATGTGTTGCTCTTAGTAACATTGAAGAAAATGATTTGATTAAATTTAATTTGAATGGATGGTATTTTGATTCTCGTCACAACTGTGTACTTCCTCAAAATCGAATTAGGTATTAACTCCCAAGATATTTACACATCAATTTTCTTTTTTTTTGTGTTTCTGAAAAAAAATAAAATTGACATGTCCGAAAGAAAAGTCAGGAAAGTGTTAATTTGACAATTAAGCTAATAATTGGAGAATGGTCGGTTATATCACTTGAAATTACGAAATAATCAATTTTATTTGTTTGGATTTAGGCGAGGATTTAAGTTTGTTTCTCACGAGGTTTCTCATAAAAAAATAATCCAAGCAGGTCGAGAAACAGGTATTTAATGCATATCTCCTAACTGCCAGACAATGACGATAGAAATCGCTTGAATTCATGAGAGCCATGTAATTTATAAAAGATGTGTCATCCCCATTCAATAAATTTATGTTAATATCACCTATAATAACATCACAATTATTGGCACATATCTGTGATTTCAAATACAAATACAAATGAAATGATTTAAAAATTACACACAAAAATTCAGTGAAAATTTCAGCTTTCTGTCTATAATAGAAAAAAAGTTATAACCTTTCAAAGTTTTCCAAAATCTAAATCATAAGGTACCTTCTTACTGAAACGATGAAATTTCAAATTTTTTTTGTCGAGATTTTCTATCCTAATGGTCAATCAACATCCCCTAAACTCCAAACACTAAATTATTCTCAGATTTGAAGCCGAAATCTATGAAAAAAGGCACTCAGAAAAATTGAAAAATTGATAAATCACCCCAAATTGCTTAACACGATTTTATCTCAGGAACTATAAGTGCAAATGAGCTGAAATTTCCAGGGATTGTAGTCCCTTGATTGGGATAAAATTCAGTGAAAGTTTCAGCTCTCTATCTATAATAGAAAAAAAGTTATAACCTTTCAAAGTTTTCCAAAATCTAAATCATAAGGTAGGTACCTTCTTACTAAACCGATGAAATTTCAAATTTTTGGCACATATCTGTGATTTCAAATACAAATACAAATGAAATGATTTACAAATTACACACAAAAATTAATTGTGGGAGTAAAAATCTAGCCTCGGATCTAGCATTGAACAACAAATTTAGAGGCTCTAAGGGATAACGTTTGCTCTGACATAGTTCCACTTTCTAATAAATCCTGTAACCTCGCCTGTAACTTTATTGAAATACTTACCATTTTGAAGCTCAAAAGAAGCAGAACACTCATTGAAATCAACTTCGTCTTGTATTATTAAACTTTGTCCATCATCAGTGATCAGAGCTCCATTGATAATCATTGCTGTAGTTCCATCTTCAAGAATTATCTGCAAAAAAAATATCTATTATAGTAATATATTGACAAGAAATGTCTATGAAATATGCTGGTTAAAGGCATGATGACCCTTCCAGTGATTTCAAAAATGAGTCATCAATTTAATTTCAGCATAAAATGAGGTCCACATTTGCCTCAGCAGCTCTTGAGTCTGGAAATCTGCTCATGTTACAACCATGAAGAATTTTACATGAAGCAGAATAGAGGGGAAGATAAGATATTCATTGAAATAATGGTCAATGAAACGCAGGCGACAGTTTGACTGAGATTAAACCGAGGGGGTAGTCACTTGAGATTTTCTAGGAGAGAAAAATCTCCATGTGTGGAGATTATAACTCTGTAGATCTCCATGGATATCCTTGAATCTCCAGGCATCATATCCTTTGATCTCCATGGAGATCAAATGAATCTGCCCCGAAATTTCCATGGATCTCCCTGTTTCTTCTCCGGACCTTCATGCATTACTTAGTCACTTTCATGTGGAATTAGATCTTAAAGAAAAAACACAGTTTTGCTGTCACAAAGTAGCGAGTATTTTGAATAATAATTAAAAATAAATTACTATTATTAATGCTATGTAATACCCATAATAGTAGCCACCAGATCTTCACATATCTCCACCGAATCTCCACATATTGTCAAGCCAAAAAATATCTATCACCGTTTACAACATTATTATTTCAATACAAATTAACCAAAGGCCATTGACAAGTGATGTCTCAATTTAGTTGGGCGATACCGATGTTATATTAAAGAAAGCAACGCATCAGGATGTTAGCGAAAAGCTTAGAGACAACGACGTAGGTTTTAAGTCAATGATTTTTGCTGACAATAGTTAATCGATTTGGATCCATAGGGCATCATTTTCGAGTTAGTTGTAAATCTAAATTTCGTGCGCTAAACTTGTGCTACGGGCTACGCTACGGTTTACAGAAAGATGGGTCTCTAAGTACCGTTATTTAACATTTATAAATTATGTCTAGTATTCTCATCTATTAATCAACCCTCTAGTTGTAATCAATAAACTTAATTATTCTTAATGTTTTGGGACTTATTGTTTTAATTCATTAAAACCTCAAAAGATCCCAAACCCCCAGTTGGAACAAAATAGGTTGTGACATTTGGTGGAGGCGACGGGCAGAAGAGAAATTTGTAAAAGGGTATCCAGACTCTCAAGCCCGGGGGAACACCATTCGACAAATCGGGCATTGATTTGTTGGGGCCATTCAGCAAAAGCCAAAATGGAAAAACAATTATCGTAGTCGCTACAAATTACGCTACGAGGTGGTCAGAAACAGAAGCGCTGCCTAGTGGCAAGGTGAGCCCTGTAGCAAAGTTCATGCTTGAAAAAATTCATTAAGTACGAGACATAGAGCTCCAAAAGAATTATTGAGTGACAGAGACAAAATTTTTCAATCGGAATTAGTCATGGAACTTTTAAGAAAAATGGGAACCACAAAACAATTTACAACCGCTTACCACCCAGCAAAGAATGGTATGACAGAGAGGCTCAATAAAACTCTAGCAGATATGATCTCAATCTACACCCACACTAACCAGGTAAATTGGGATCAATACCTTCCCCATGTTACTTTTGCATATAATACGAGATATAATACTAGTAGGCAAGATACTACTACATTCTCTCCATTTATGTTAGTATGAAAGAGAGCCAGTCTTATCGATGGAAGCTACCCCCAAATCAGTTGGATAGTCATGGAATATGGAATTAGGGAAAACGCCCTTGCAGTTCAAAACATATTAATAGACGAAAAAATGAGATATGACGTCAAGCACAGACATATTGAATAAAATGTAGGAGAAGGTCTTTACACTCTTTACCCCTGTCAGCAAAGTTGGTAGAAGCGGCAAACTCCTACTAAGATGGTTTGGACCATATTACATATTAGGAAAATGTCGGATGTATTGTTCATCGATTTTTATCTGATACTTGCGGTATGAGGAGTGAGGGGGTGAAGTATATGGCAGGTGTGACGACAGGTGACCATTGGCGTTCTAATGTAGGGTGCCACCAGCTCACATTCCTTCCGAGTGTCAGATTAAAATCGACGGACTTTAGACTCTGGGATTCATAAAAGAAAAACAAGCTCAGCAAACTGCAAAGAAAGATATATTCCATGTGAGTAGAATACTACCTTATTATAGCCCATGGACCACCAGATACCCATGTATTTCCACGGTTATCCTTGGATTCCCACATATCTCCATACTCCCAGTAGGACAGATGTCCACAGTGACTTCCCCCTCAAGTTAAACATTTTGTTCAATAGAATACCCGAGAGAATACCCAATCAATGGAGAAGTATCAATTGTACATTATTGTATGTAGAATTGAGACACTTACAATGTTTTGTTTTCTCCAAGGTATTTTCCTTATGGAGTAAAATCAACATGCCTGTTTTGGAAAGTTTTCTAACAAGAAAATTTTGAAAATTCTTTAATTCTGACAATTCTGACTAAACTTACAAATTAGGTACTTAACTTACATTGGTGATTTCTTGATAACCATCTGGTATACCAATATCATCATTATAAACATATTCGACTTCTTCAGCCTCATCAGTTCCCATAACATAGTGCACAGGGATAGTTTCCAAATACTCGGTTTTAAAAATATCACTATTTGGTTCTTCTATAGAAAATTCCATTCCGACTCGTTTATCTGAAAAGGTAAAGTAAAGTCCATCGGGAAATTAGTTGTTAGGAGACAAAACGTTATTTTTCCGAAACCGGGGAAAACATTTAAATTTTGAATTTGGATCGGTAAATTAAATAATCCAATATTTACCTTTTACATGCCCAGTCGGTAGAGAAATTATCGACGGTGGCCCCTGTCGGTAACAAAAAATGGCTACCAAGTTTTGTTTTTAACCTAGAGACGGGTCTATCGATATTCACAGGTATCGATAATCGATTGCTATTACGTCTTTTTCATATTAATATTTAGAAAATATCTTTGAATATAAAACCACAGGAAGGAGCGTTTTCCATCTGTCACTACAGACAACACAGGGACGGACGGAAACGGCGATATTGAGCCTACAAGTACGAATCATTTGTTTTGGTGGTTCGCTGGGTCCTGATTCAAGTGGATGTATGGATTTTTGCGCTTTTAAGCCCAGTACTCATAATTGCGAAATTCGCACTTTTTTGACATTGCTTCGACAAATTGACGTTTGATACACGTATAAAACGTCAAATTGTCGACGCAATGTCAAATAAGTGCGAATTTCGCAGTTATGAGTACTAGGCTTTAAGTGGTAATAAGCACTGGGATTAGTGCGAAAAGAGTGAGTCATAATATTGACAATCATATAAATAGATATACGCCACTGCCAAACCGGAAACACTAGTTGGCCATATGCAACCTCCACATATTCAGGTCGCGCAGGTTCAAGGTTATGCTCCTTCCTGTAGTTTTATATTCAAAGGAAAATATCAATATTTTCGATACGATATTTCTGATTTTCTTCTAGACTGCCTCGCCTCGATCATAGTGCTCTCGACTTTTGCTTCAAAACGGCATCTAATTGATCAAAAAACGATGCGAAACGGATTCACAGGTTCGGCATAAAACGGAGCGCTGCTCTCAGAGAACTGTAGCTTCGCCGCCCAGGCGGGGAGCGCTCAAGGATATTTTTTACACAGGTTTTCTCAAGTTTGATTGAGAGAGGTAGATTGCCTGACTACTTTTATGATGTCATCTGGGGTACCTTAACCAATGAGCCTCAACATAATGCAAATCTCCATAAGGCACCCCAGAAACGTCATCAAGTTACCCATTACCAGGCAATTAACCTATGAACTTTAGGAACCTTGGGATAGCCTACCCTTATCCTCATAAGCATTAGGCTTGTTCTTGAAATTTGTCTCTTTTTGTCCCACAACCCTAAATAAATAAATATATAAATAAATAGTTGAAATTTTAAGCCTCCACCACGGTAAGGTACCGGTGATGACGTAGTTGTCAATCATTTAACACTATTGAGAGATTTTTCTGTCAGTTATCACTAAAATAACTTTAACAACATAAACACAGTTATCAAGTTATAGATACAAAGAAAACCTACACACAGCTACAAAATCCATAAAACACTTTTTGTGGTTATGCTTAAAAGGACTAGGCGGTCAACGTATGTCGATGCGTTTACGGATGCGGATACGGATACGTAGAATAATTTGAGGTTTGCTTAAAGTGTCTAATATGTTATTATAATTCCTCATGGTTTTTATTAGTTGTATTCCTTTCAAGAGTAATGACCCGGAAAAAGAGACCCGTAATATACAATGTCTTATCTGTAAAAATTAAATGTAATCAAATAATCAAAAACTGAATTTCCTGTATTTGAAATCAGTATCAATAAACTGAAAATGAAACAAATTAGCGTTGACCCCAAATTAAATTAAAATAATAATATACGATAAAATTTTATTATTTAGTCACCAAGAGTGATGTCATCATCTAAATCAAAGTCATAAAATTATTAAAAGCGAGGCCAAAGTAATTGAATAGGTGATTTATGGCCGCACGTGTTTTTCGGCTTTCTTTGTGTTGTCCTCACATTCTTAAACCAAATCTGTTGACCCCGATAAACCAGGAAATTGCGACATAATTATTGGATTTTAAACAAATAAAAACCCGGAAGAGATCAATTACAAGGTTAGCACCTAATTAAATTGGACCCAAAATGACAAAAATTTCGACCAGATTGCATCATCCTCTAAAAATGATGAAATTAGTTTTTGAAATAATATCTAGGTCGAGTGGTCGACCAATAGAATTAAATTATAGATGGTCAAACGACTGCCCATTGTCGATTTTGGCAGTGGCGGATTTAGAGGGGGGGCGCGGGGGGCGCGCGCCCCCCCCTATTGAGCGACGCAACAACGAAATTTTTAACGAAAACACAAACATATTCATCAAGCATTATCCAACATGAAATTCCATATGGTTTTTGCTATTTTTCCAAATTTTTAATACTTTTAAATACGTTTGGCAGCAGCGAGCTGGGAGCGAATCGACTGCGGATGACGTAAATCCGCACCAAATTGAATTTAATCTATAATTGAAAATTCCAATTAAATTTAATCTCCGATTAAATTAAATGTGGATGTCAAATGATAGTTTATGAAAATCTAAGATAGGAATGTGAAATCGGTTTTCCTCTGAAATTAACCGTTCAGGTTTTACAGCCTGTCAAAGTTGCAAAAAGTCAATGTTCAACTGTCAATATTTCCAAAACAGTTGAACTTAGGTATAGGGTATATCACATGAAATCTGCTCAGAATTTTACGTAGAATCCAAATATGCAATCACATACAGGGTGTTTTATTTGAAAAAAAGAAAGTTGGTCTAGATAGCAAACAAACCAGAAGTGACACAGGCAATACGTTTAAGTAGAATTGTGGGAAATATTAGGGACATAAAGCTACTTGAAATAATTCATCGGTATCGGTAGCCGTAACGCAACTAGATACGTTGACAAGCGAAAAGGCTGTTAAAGCGCTCCCTGTTCCGGTAAACGTAAACGCATTTCATAACCTAGACATTTTTCTCTCAAAACTTCGGCGTTTTTATATCTAACCTTAAAATTGTTTTTTTTTTGCGATAGAGAAGCACTAAACACACAAGAAACTCAAGAAAGTATAAACTAAACAAATTAAATCAACCCGGAAGAAAAGGGAGGTTATATTCATTTGAAATTTGACACATGCGTCAGGAATGTCAAGATACGTTACCGATACGGATACCGCGAGAGGGCCGTAACGTTACGTTGTACGTACGGTATCTCGGCCTCCGTATCGCTTCTGCACATGCGCAGTGCCACTGCCTCCTATACTTAACAAGCCATGAAGTTGGAAATGACGGCAACGTCGCGTATGGTGCTATTTTGTTATTGGGTTATGTGTTTCTGTGTATTGCTTTCATTGTGTATTGTTGCAGTTTAGTATTTTTGTGGGCATTATCATGCATTATTGACGAAAAAGTGGATAGAAACACACCAATATATTGCCCATATTTAGTTGATACCTGTTCCTTTGTGCTTTGATTGCAATTTTCTAGCAAATGGGTACAGGAGCAAAAATGAAGGTAAGGTGAGATAAAACAATAAAAACAATATTAAATATTTGTCTGCAAGAGCATATGTCTCGATATATTACCTAAGATATTTAAACTTGTTCCAGAGGCCATGAAACTACTGTGTTCCTGGGTGCAAATCGAACTATTAGGAGTTCCTTAAAAACTGAAGAAATGCAAACATTTTCATTTCCAAAAAAATTCTGAATTGCAAAAAATGTGGATGAAAGCAATACACCAAGATAATTATACCCGAGATTATACAATAACGAAAAATTCTGTGGTGTGTTGTAAACATTTTGAAGAACCCGAAATAATTAGATTTGAAACAAACAAGGATAAAGGCGTAGTTCGAGAGTTCAAACTGAAACGTCCAACTCTTAAAAGTAGGTACCTCTTATTTTCGAAAATCAGCTCAACTATTTGAATGGACCTGCCTTCCGAAAAAATCCCGAAGAAAGAAAAAGTTAGATTTTTCAAAAGACATACTGAAACATAGGCCTATAACACTTTAGACTCTAGAAATATATTCATTTAAATCAATTATTTACTGTTCTTATTTACACAAATAGTTATATTATTCATTGAATTACTGTTTTTGGCCCTTTAGTACAATAAATTATGCATTTTTCGTGATTCATATTATTAAAATAAAAAATATATATTTATAAAAACAAACACCACCAGCACCACTTGGCGGTAAGATTGCGGTGTTGCCTTTTTAACTTCATGGCTTGTTAAATGTAGGAGGCTGTGGCAGTGCGATACCGATACGGATACCGAGCAAAAAATACGGAAGCTTTATGTCCCTAATTTACTGAGCAACTTTCATTAAGGTCACTTTTTCGTATACGAGGTAATTAGAAAGTTACAGGTATTATACGCGACTTTTTTGCCACTCTGTATATTTAAGTCGTTTTTTTATTATTTCTTATCTGAGCCTGAGGCCCTGATGGATCGCCCCCCCCTAGAAGGAATCCTAAATCCGCCGCTGGATTTTGGTTGGTAATTAATAATATTTTGGCAGGAATCGAAAAAGATAAATACAGCGGTTTTAGAAGTGGAGGGCAGTTGAGTTGAGTTGTTAGTTCAATCCAGTTCAGTTTTAAGTCTGCAGTACCTGATGAGTCAGTCCGGATAAATTCGCGAAGAGTTTCTTTTATTTTTGCTTCGGGAAAACGCGTTAAGTCTTTGTAAAAGTACAGAAAATTGTGAAAGAAAGAACATTTGAAGTCATTCAACATTATGTGCGAGCTCTAAGTAATCAAAAGAATTAGTGAGAAAAAAATTAGTTTAGTGTTTTATGTACAAAATGTAAGTACTCTTTAGTGACTAGTTTTATTTTTGACTATAAATGTTGCATGAGTATGAAGTGAATTATCTTTAGAATTTTATTGCGTAAATATTAATAACTCGAGTGTTTTGACTATGGAACATTATTGCATAACTTTAATTGCCTTCGAGTAAAATGACATTATAATTGATTTTGCAAACAGTTTAAAGGGGGAATTTATAATGCACTCAACAAGTATCGATTTTGAGTAGGAATTATTAAAGAATTTTTAAATGGATTGTCCAATTGAAGTTTAAGGGCTATAGTAACAAACTAATAAGAATTTAAATAATTGTGTTTGTTGGCTAGGAATCCGAAAATAGTAATTGTTCTGATTAAATTAATAAAAAGTTTTGTTTGAAAATTGTTGTTCATGTTGTTACATTGATGACCTTAAGTGCTGAAATTTTGAATTATGGTTTTAATCATTTAGAAATTATTGTAAGATTTTATAAAAATATAGTTGGTAATACATACCTATATACTTAATCCAGTGAGTCGTATTATGACTTAAATAATTATTTTGCATAATCAGTTAGTAAATGAATTAGGAGTTTTAAGAATTTATAGATATAGGTGAAGTAGGGTAGTTTTAATAGGAATATGTGAATCAGAATTGTTGTTTAAAAGAGTAATGTATAAACTTATAAGTTATTAAGAATACAAGAAGTAGGGCGTTTTTAGTATGGATATTTCCTGGTCCGTAGTAATGAAATTTGAACGGATGTGAAATAATTTGAATTGAGAAAAATAAAAGTTGCTAATTTAAATTTTTGGTTTTAAGTATAATAAAATATAATTTAGTGAACCTCAATAGTTTGTTTCTCTCTTTTGCGAATAGACCCCCTCCACAATTTTTTAGGTAGCCGCTCAAGGAAATAAACACCATCAATATACCGCTCGCCCATTTACCATCTAACAAATTAAATAGAGTACTTGAGTGCGTTTTGCTACAAGTTTCAAACACTCGAGCTACTCGCTCTGGTGTAAGTCGCCCCCGATTTGGAAGGAACAGCTACCGGATAGGGATGGCTGCCACTGGAACTGATCTGCACAGTGGGAACTGATCCAAGGTAATCAACTGCAAAATAAACAGGTCCAAGTTCGAATTCGAATCCAGCCCGAGGATTCTAAAATCACGATTCGACACACGACTCGATAACGAGACGATTTTCCTGACGATTTTAGGTTGGAATCTCATTGGAATCATATATACCTTTCGAGACGACAGGGCCGGTCTCGTTGTCGAGTCGTGTGTCGAATCGTGATTTTAGAATCTCCCCCCATACCACTTTTGCGTTGTCTACGTTATACGAATTCGGACTCAGACTCGGACTAATCGAATCGCGCCGCGCCAACCTGCGGAACAGGGAAATGTGCGGACTCGGACTAGGGACACAGAGTCAGAGACGGAGTACACTACAGCGACAGATTCGATCAGTGCTGGCCGCTGGAACGGAGAGAGTACGAGAGTGAACCGACAATAATAGGATATATGTAGATGGAACGGAACAGAAAGAAACTGATATAAAGTCTGTTTTTTTTTTTTAAGATAAAAGTCAAAATGACATTATGTTGGCAATACAATGTAAAATTGTCAATGCTTTCGATTTTTTTATGTATAAAAGGCTTGTCTTGCCAACATAGTTACTAAATTTTTGACTTGGGGAATTATCTTTGAAAAAAAAAAACAGACTTTATAGGTGGTTTATGATGCTAGATGTTGTGTAGGGAATTTGGGGAAGGGAACAGGAAACGAGATGGTAAATGCGGAGAATCGGCCTGTTTTGCGCCTTCAAATCTATGAAATAAAATGGACTAGGTTTTTTTTTTATTATACACAAATTGCATTTATTTATCGCAGTTTTCACAAATAGAAAAATTATCCCCCAATAAAAATAAACAAATCTCGTTGTTTTCGTTGAAATAGAAAAAAAAACAGTATTTCGGCTCGGTTCATCGTTCATCGGTTCTCAGTGCGACTCGATCTTGGAACTGATCCATGGAACAGGTATCTGTTTGGACCGGATCAGTTCGGAACTGATCCGTAAAATTTGTTGGATCAGTCATCCCTAGACCGGATTCTATTTTACGAGTCGAGTAGTAATGGGCTCTTTCACTAATTTTTGAAATTGGCATATTTGGATAAAGCAACTAAAAACAGAATTTTCTGTATTTTTACTTTTGAAAAATTCATAGTCCTTCTTGAGAAAACAGAAAAAAAAGAAATACCTCCAAATAAAAACCCAGAATTTATTTCTATGACGTCGCAGCTCGCTATTTGACCATGTTGCCACTAATTGTCAACATTGAAAATTTGTAATAGATTTAATTCTGAAATGTTCCCAAAATATCATGAAAAGTAGTTAAATTAATTACTTATGGATTCAAGATTTTATAACATTTTTATTGAAATTATGCTTAAACACAATTTAATATAATTTTCTATGTTTAGTTTTATTTATTTATTTTACGTTGCACTACATTTAGTCACCACCGACAACAGCGCATTCGAACCTTTACCTGCATTTACTACAGGATAAATACAGCAGAGGCGGACAGCTCTTTCCAACAACAAGCGAAATGAAAAATATTTATGCGACGTCAGCAAATCGGCGCGTTTTTAAATAATTCAAATTTTGGTAGTTTAAAATGCCTGTAAAAAACTTATTTAACCTTGTAGAACATTTTTTTTTGGTATATGTGCCTAAAATAGTCCCTCCTTTGGGATTTTATACCTAAATTACGTATTTAAATTTTAGTGAAAGAGCCCATTCTTATCGACTTGTCAAAATAGCTACTCTATTCTTCGTTTTTTCGATACGTATTACACGGTGCGTCTGGAGCTGTCGTATTCGATATCAAAGGTCATAACGGACGATTCGATTCGACTCGTAAAAAAGAATCCGGCAGCAGATGCGTGGTGCAACGAGCAACCAACACTTTTCTAAAGGAATAAGCGCAAAACGCCCTGGAGCTTCTCCTAGGTCTGAAAGAAATACAACTATTGGCTACATATCGATATGACAAATTCGTGTCATTCTATCATGGAGGCCGCATTGATGTACCATCGTCACCAAAAATATCTGGGACACAAATAACGCATAATCAGAGATAAATACTATATAAACTGTCGAGAATGGAATCTCAGTGTAAATTTTGTTGTCAACAAAATTGAGCCAAGCCAGCGCCATCTACTATATCGGAAAATCACTATTTACTGGTTTTGCATCGATGCTACAGTCACCTACTTTACATAGGACTTTTTATGATAGATGGCGCCCTGTTCGCATTACTGTCGGTCTGTTCAAATTCGTTTATTCTAGACTTTGGGGCATTAATGTTTGCTTAAATTAATTGATAATTTGTTAATTAGATCAAAAGACAGTTTCTTTATCGATGGTTAAGGGTATCCTTACCATATTTATTCAAAGTTCTGATTGATGTTTAATTGAACCTGAATTTATCTAATCAACAAAGATAAAAATAGATCTTCCAATCTATAAAGTTTGAAGTTCTTCTTGAAACACACAAAACAACTTTGTAATCACTTGAGAACACTTGACAACACAAAGAAAGATGAAATGCAAGACCGGCGAACAAAAAACATTATGAATTATTAGTTAGATCAAATTAATATTTTGGCATATTGTCATATGTTGACATGTCAGTTATCGACATCGGACGTGTTCTTGATGTGCTGGTATTTTCCAATTTTGACAATTCTGTGGTTGTCAGCGACATCTAGAAAAACGGAAAAGAGTTATTATGTGGTTTATAACTGGCAATGAGAGATCGCAGGGCCTGCGCATAATAATCTCCTGGGCTAATTCTCCTGTCATTCATTTCAATGCATTTAATTCATAGTTTGACAAATATTTGACAATAAAGTTCAAATAATGGGACAAATGCTAATGCGATGCTGTCTCAGTTACTTTTGGTGACGATGGTACATATATATATCGTATCGATGAGTCTCCTCAGTATAATTCCATATCAGTAGAGTACTCGGTTTCTACATAATACTTTACGCGTACTGGTCTACAATTTTTTTTTTTTTTTCAATTTTTCTTACATTTTCTCTCTCTATTTCTCAGTTTTTCCGTCTCAATTTTGCCTATTCACGGCCCTTGAATTTTCTTCTAAATTTCTCTAAATATAGAGATTCGAGAGCATGGAATAGAAACAGCATACTTTGTGTCTACTTGTGTACGAACTTTTTTTCAATTTCTCTGGAATTTCTTTGATTCATTTTAATCTGAGTTTATTCTTCATTTTTTTCCGCTTAATTTTCATTTATTCCCAGCGCCTCAATTTCTGGAACAAAAAAAATCAAGAGTCTGTGATAGAAATAATATGAATGTTCACTTATCTACCATCTTTTTCTCAATTTTTCTTGCATTTCTACTCTCTATTCTTCAATTTTTCTTTATTCCCGGCTCTTGGGATTATCAAAATTAAGTAAAATCAAGAGCCTGGAATAGAAAAACCATACATATATATGGATGTCCTCTATCTAGCAATTTTTTCTCAACTCTTGAATTTATTCTCCCTATTTCTCTATTCTCCAACTCAACACCAAATAGGATTGCTCAACCTTATCGCGAACGTTCGCCAGTTCTCGACTTAGCAACTGGTACACAGGTGACGCCACCATTATCAGCAGTCGATAGTGAGGACGTCACTCGCAGACCTCGATGAATTGCTTGCGATTCAAGCTGTACTCGTGAGGTAATTTTTTCATCGTTTTCGTTTTTAAATGTAGAAATGGCGATTTCAACGTTGAGGAATTCGTTTTTCGACCTACAGTGTTTTGAACAGTGTTTGAACTAGGATAATGCATTCTACGCCAAGAGTTGACGTCTACGGCTAACGTTACAAATAGTGGGGAGTTGTTGCGTGGACATGTCAGAAACTTTCAACTCAATCAGTCCTATTTGGTCGTGCTCTTGAGCCTGGGACAGGAAAGGTATGAATTTCCTGATCATTTCAAACCATTGTTTAATGCCCGATTGCACCGTCTCTCTTAGCTCTGGCTTAACGATAACTATCCCTTAAACTGACAGTTTTGCATGAAAAAATGTCACTTTAGGGAATAGTTATCCTTTAAGCTTCGGTTAAGAGAGACGGCGCAATCGGGCATAAAACAACAATTTGCGTTTAACGAATGACGTTAGATGATGGTTTTCAATTTTGCAAGATCCTTATCGATACATATCAAATTCGTATCGATATGCAACATCGAGGACGTATCGACGTACATTTTGACATATCGTATCGATAAGCCCTCCTCTATTCTAACCTAAAACTGAACATTTCAAATTTCAAATATTTTTTTGTTTTCAAAAATCAAAAGTAAAATATTTTCTTCACATTCACAATAAAAAATATGAATGAATTTCAAAGTAATGCGGCACAAAATACCATTTTAAATCTTCTAGCAGCATGTGAAACCAATTTTGAATTTCCTGCCCTTCAAAATGAAGCAGTTGAACTAATTTCAAACAATATTACTGATATTGTTTATACATCTTTGAAGCAAAAAAGTACTGCCAGTTCTACTAAAAGATGTAACTTATTGGTAAGTGCACTTTCATTTTCTCACCTTTTCAAATAATGCCACAACTTTCTAGAAATTGTTATGCAAAATATCTGAAACTCCCGAATCTCATCTAACAGAAAACCACTACAAAGTCTACCTGAAACAATATGAAGAGAAATTTTGCAAATCAAATGATCTTGAAGCTGTAGTTAACTTAATAACAACTATCTCAAAAGAGCTTGAAGATATAACAGGAAGTTTACACAAAGATGTTCTAGATTTTTATAGGAGAAAAAATAAAAGAAGGGCAGAAAAAGCTAAAAGAATAGAGTTTATACAAAAAATGGACCAAGAAAAATCTGACATGCACGTGCCCAGAAATATATCACATTATTTGACCAGTGAGAGTTTAATTGATGATTTACTGAAGGAAAATCAAAATAAAAATGTAAATGAATCATTGGAAATAAATAATTTTAACTCTAGAGTCTATAGACAAAAACAAGCTCAATTTTGTTATGCAATTGTAAATATTGGAAAAGATGATAAGAAAATACTAGAAAGTGTATTGAACAAATTAACAACTTATAATTTACTTGAGCGATTTGAAATTAGAATGTTAACAGATTTGTGGCTAATGGGAGGTATGTACAGTGCACATTTTTTTCCTAGATGTTCTTTTTACTTAAAACATTTTTTTTTAGAAAGTAACAACCTGGATTTGTCAGCCTTCATCACCAAAAAATTCCCATTTATAATAGAAAAAATTATTCTTAATTGTTGCACCGACATATTGAAACTAACAGATAGTGCACAAGTATCAAAGTATTTTACTGATTTGGATCAGAATCCTCATATTATAAAACTTCGAGATGTCTGCACCAAAAATCTCGCATTTTATTGTAAACTAAAAAATATAATTTTTGAATTGTACGTTTTAAGTGAATGTAATGAGAATGTGTATAGGTTTTGTGATTATATCATTTGAATTTGAATTTTTGTTTAGTAGATTTGGATTTGCATTTTACACATAATAACACATACCCATTTATTAGAATTTTCGGTGAAAACAGAAAAATCATCTATGATTTCTTCAGCCTATTACAACGTTGCCAAATTTCTACTTGATTGGAACTTTTGAAATTACTGTCATTTGTCAAAAAAAGAAAACGCTTGTTTGACGTTGACGTCTATCTATCTTGTTTATGTTTTTTTTGTAAGCTTGCTTGCAACTTGCTAGTGATTCTTTTGTGTTGTAATTGCAAAAATCCTTCAAATTTATTGAAAAAACACAAGTTTTTGAGTTCCAATTGAGTTGAGTACCTCAAGGGTAAGTTTATTCCATATTTTTCACTATAATAAACATGTTTCGCTAACATTTTTTGCCAGTTGAGCACGTTATTAGCCAAGGTTTTTCATGTATATAGCTGCCCCAACTTTTTTGTTGTTTTGTGGGGCTTTTTAGCCTTTGTTGCTGCATGAATCAATAAGGTATGAGTATTTAACCAGCTAAGGGAAACAGGGTTTGTGCTAAGCATTGTGTCGTCATAATATTCTACAACCCAGACAGCACGTCTTTTTTGGGACTGCATTACGTCCGAAGGCCAAAAAAGACGTCTAGAAGACGTTGTTTTGAAAATGTTCTTAAAATGTCAAAAATTCACATCTTGAAGACAGCTATTTGGTGGTTAAAGCAGGCCAAAAAGTGAATAATGGTTTATGTATTGAAAAAGATTCAAAGACATATTTCATCTCGTTGAAGACACCTCTAGAAGGTCTTAGTCCTAAAGACTTCTAGAAGACGTTGTTTTGAAAATTTCCATAAGATGTCATAAATTCACATTTTGAAGACAACTATTTGGTGGTATAAGCAGGGCTAAAAGTGAATAATGGTTTATGTATTGAAAAGAGTTTCAAAAACGTCTTTAAGACATCTTGTTGAAGATGCCTCTAGAATGTCTTAGTTTTAAAGACGTCTCTAGGCAGACATCTAAAAGACATAGGGTTTTGTAACATATGACATCTTCATGTCTTTGAGACATAAGCAAGAAGTCTTGAATATCGTTTGTGGACATCATGATGAGAGATGTCTACAAAAATTTCCCACCGAATCGGTTTCTCATTCAATTTAGAAGTTACTGGAAACCATTTAGAATGCTAAGGAACACTTTAGAACTTCAATAAGCCTTTTGGAAAGTTCAAGACACTTAAAAATTTATTTCAAAATTTCCAAAAACATTCTGTAACGCCTTAACACATTTTAGAATGCTCCAGAACATTCAAAAACCGATTTACAATTTTCAATAGCATTATAGAATAATTCAGAAGTTTGAAACTCATTTAACTCAGGATGCTCCAAAACAGTCAAACCTCGAGTCAAACACTCTAGAATCTCCAGAAACATTTTGAAAAGCACCAGAATCTTGGGATTCAGGTTAAATGTTACAGAATGCCTTGAAGAAGGAGAAGAGTGAATTTAGATTGCTTTAGAACTTTAGACCTTTAATAAGCATCCAAATCAGAATTTTCAGGAGCATTTTGGACCAATTGAGAAACCAGAGTTATTTCAGAACACTTAGGATTTAACTGGAAACCTTTTGGAACTCTTTTGAACCAATTTAGAACACTTTGGAGCTTCAATAGGGCTCCAAAACACTTGAAAATCTATCAGAACAATTTACAGATTACTGAAAAACTTCCAAAATACTCAAGAACTCATCAAGCCAATAAGTTACAACACTTTGGAACCTCAGTAAGTCATTAAGAACGTTCCAAAACGACATATGGATACAATCGTTATACTATTTGCAAAAAATCTAAATTCTACTACTGCACACTCAATTACACCACTTAGTTTGGTCCGTGCCTTACATTTAAGTCCATTTTTACAGTAAATTGCTGTTCCTCCATGTTTTCGTTCTTCTTTGCAGAACATTGATACCAAATAATTAAAGCTATCTATAGCAAGCCTCTTGAGTTGGTCCATTGACGTCCAATGTTCAGTGATACATAAAATTTCACAGTTGTTATGTAAATTAAGCATAGCGTTAATACGATCAACTGGGTTCCCCAGCGATTGCACATTTTGGTGTATAATAACCATTGGTTCAAACTGGGTTCAAAAATGGTTGACCTTGATATCTATACTATGTCTTTAGAAGTCGTCGATTCAATTGGCTCAAATCATTTTGTTTATTTGATGAACAATATAAATTATTTGATTTCAAACTATCAGGGTGAAGAATGAAAAAATGTGATGCTGCCATTGGTGACTGTGACTCTGTTTTGTTAATATTTGTTTTTTTGTTACATTGAACACGTGTAATACCCGGTTTATTCATCTTCATATAAACTTACTGCTAACAGTTTACAAGATAAATTAACCAATCCACCAATCTTCGGCCTGGTTTATTCACCCTTAGATAAACTTACTACTAACTGTTTACAAGATAAAGTTACCTATCTATAATCCTCTTGCTTAAAATAACTGGCTAACCAATTTAATTAAGTGCCAGTTTATTCACCTTCTGATAAACTGTCAGGTATGCAATCTGACGTATAAAAACGCAATCTGTAATCCCATTGGTCGTTCAGTTATCCGCCGACTAATAGAATTATAGAACGGAACCAGCAAGTTTATCTGAAGATGTATAAACTGGGCGTAAAGAGTGTATTTTTATCTATCAGATTGCATTAACAACTGACAGTTTATCATAAGATGAATAAACTGAGCCTTATCCTATTGGTCGTTCGATAACTTGCCGACTAATAGGATTATATAGATTGCGATTTTATCCGTCAGATTGCATTACCTGAAAGTGTATCAGAGTGAATAAATCGGGCCAAAATGAGTTAATTCCCTCGAGATTTCTGCAATTTTATCTTGGTAATTCCTCAAAGTTACTATGAACAAGGTAAAGTAGGTACCTAATGTGGAGAAAAAAAAAAAAAAACAAGTAGGTATAGTTTGGCTACTGAGAGAAAGTCGATTCGGTCTGAGGTGAAGGGGGAGGAAAAAAACGATATGGAAATACACAGTTGCGATGGAATAGAGTGTGATAGAAATATTGGTTCACACATTTGCTATCGGTAAACTCTCGCCAGTCGGACTATAGGTACCTACAAACTAGAGACATTTTTTTTTTGACAAATAAACTTAGCCTGTAAATAATAATAATAAAGCATTAATAGTACATTATACACCTAGGGACTAAAGTGGTACTTTTAATCCCGAGACGAAAATTTTATAGCCTGACCCAAGGGAGGGCTATAATTTGTCGAGGGGTTAAAAAACACTTTAGTCCTGAGGAGTATACACTATTTTATGTCCTTTAGAGGGATTAAAAGTACCCTTTTATTTCCTGTTCCATTTAATCCCCGGGGAATAAGGTATAAATTTAATATTTTGGGAAATGAAGTGAAATTTAATTCCGGGGATTGAAAGACCTACTTTACTCATCTGAAACCTTAAAGTGCATAAAGTATTTCATTTACAATGTTACTTTATGTAGGTTTCTTATATTTTGCGTTGATATTGTTTTTTGCGAGGGGTCAACCATCAACCACTATGCTTACAAAAATGTACAATGATTTCCATATTTGGCAATCTTTGATCAATGAATCTCATGTATCTCCATCCCAAGAATTGTGACAATTTGCCAATCATTTTTCAGATATTTTCGGGGATAATACCACGAGAGCTTCAAAATTACCGATAATTTTTCACGATTGCGTGTTTTCTATATTTCTATATAAATTTGCAAAGAAAACACGCATGACTGAAAAATTATCTGGTCCATTTTCAAGCTCGAGTGGTATTTAGAGGAATATTTCTCGAATGAAACTCCGGAAAATATGCAAATAAATATTTAAAAACGATTTGAACAACTTAACAATCAATACAAATAAATGGTTCCTAACAGCAACCGTTTGTTTGTATCAAAAATTAGCATGACAACCATGAATACAATAACATGGGAGAATTATCGCTATAATTCTCTCTAGTTAAACTAATGGACAAAAGAATTTTCGCTGTAATTTTGAAAATTGTCACTTGCCTTATGAGATTTCTAACACATGGAATACTTAATCGGGGATAATACCACGAGAGCTTCAAAATTACCGATAATTTTCCACGATTGCGTGTTTTCTTCAATTTCACGAGTCCCTAGGACGAGTGAAATTTGCAGAGGAAACACGCATGAGTGAAAAATTATCTGTTTCATTCTAAAGCTCAAGTGGTATTTAGAGGATTATTTCATGTTATTTCTGATTCTGATTCAGATGTGCTATCGAAGATAGTAATTATTCTTTTTTCCCCTTTCCCTTTTCAAGTTCTTATTGCTTTGGATTCCCGACTTTTTTTTTGTGTCTTCCTCAGGGATTTTCCCATAGCTGGATCGACAAACGTCCCTGTTTCTTTGAAAAGAACCAAATTAAAGTTGAGCCCTGAATAATATCTAAGTTGTAGCAAATCGCAATTGCTGAACCCTGATGTGTGAAGCAATTCTGTGTCTTCTTTTGGCAAGTCGAATTCGAGAGATGTTTCAAGATTCATGTTTTCATTTTTATGCTCTACAACATTGTCATACTTCAGGTCTGATCTCACAGAAATCACAAACCAGTCAGAGCGAATTTCATTGGTTGAAAATAGTCAGAAAACTGGTTGTTGGCGATTTGCACCAATCAAAAACGCTCTGATTGGTTTGTGATTTCTGTGAGAACAGACCCCATTTCGTTCTTCTTCTTCAAGTCCTAAGCTCTTCGTAGTCTTGGGTTCAGTTATTGGGAAACTCGTTGGGATATCAAATTCATTTCAAATTGTCTAGCACTCAATAGTTCTAATCCAGCTGACATGAGAACCGTTCCAGAACCAGTAATTTCCAATTGCCCACCTATTTTTCAATAAGTTGAATGTTTATTTTACTTGACAAATGAATTTATCGACTGGAAATTACCGTTCTAGAACAGTTCTCATGTCGGTTGGAACAGAGCTAATGTTGCCTCTAAAAAGTCTTAACGGCAAATACACAACTGATCGGTACGCTGTATCATTTAAAATGTATGATATGCGATTTCTGGGGAATGAGATGATATTTCCAGCGATTACCACATGATTCTCAGCGATTGCCAATGGATTCCTAGAAGATTCCTAGTGATTCCTAGGTTATTCCCAGGGACTCCTCCATGTATTCCTGATCGATTACCACAAATTCCTCTTTTTTTCAATGTGTTTGAAAATTTCTTGAGTTATCCAATGCTTCTGGGGATTGACAATCTTCAGTTGATTGTGGATGACAGAATGCCCATGATCCGCTCATATCTAGCAGTGATGCTGGAGAATTCTTGCTGTAGATGTGTGTTAATAAGTTCATAGTCTGCAGACTAAAATTATCGATTTGGGATTTGGCTGTTATGACTAGGTACATGGTCACTAGTCTAATTGGTGGATGCTGTGATACATCAAAAGCAAGCCTCTTGTCACTGATTGATATCAGGTCAAGTAGAGACAAATTTACAAGTTGCAGGGCATTGATTTCTTGGTAGGCAGTTATGAAATCTGAGCTACATGGATTCGCGGGATTGACTGTTAATGTTTTCCAGTTGATATCTCTGTAGTTGAATTCTTCGAAAACGAAAATGGATATACCAGTACTGCATGCTTATTCTATAACATTTATAAGTTTCAGGTTGTCTTCTACACTGGTTTGCAACTAGGACTTTAAAAATCCTATTGAATGTTGTATTCATTCAATATACCTACCCTAGTACTCACCATTCATTCGGCCATTGGTCATAAAAGAAATCCTGAGTTTCTGCAATAATATTAAGGCTAGTGAGACAGAAAAGGCCATTGATGAAAAACCTTTATCCTGGTATAGAGTCGCCCATATTGCCTTAATTTTTTTTTTTTTTTTTTACGGATATGCGCACTCGCAAGGAAATGTCCTATCACGCTCGAGAAGCGGCAAGTGCGCGGAAATGTCGGTGTATGTTGGTCTTGAAACGGTTCAGGTTGTAACCTGCAGGGAAAACCGTCGCAGGGAGTTTATTCCACAGCGATGCTGTTCTCCAGAGATATGAATTCTGATATAATGAGGTTCTTGGTGCCTCTAGTTTGACAGTAAATTCATGGTTACCGCCTGTTTGACGGGTTCGGCTGGTAGGTGCTACTCTCGGTGGAATCATACGTGCCAACTCTTCAGAGCATTTTCCGTCATAGTACCTGTAGAAGAGAGATAAATCGCCCACAGATCTGCGATGTTCGAGACCATCCAAGTTACGAGTAAGTGCGGGGTCATTGATCAGCTTGATAGCTCGTTTTTGCACGGTGTTCAAAAGCATTAAGGTATGTTTGGGTGCTGCACTCCATATATGTGAGCAGTACTCCATAGTTGGTCGAATCTGGGCTTTGTAGAGTGTCAGCAATTGGCTTGGTGTGTACAGATGTCTTGTACGAAATAGCACCCCCAGCTTTTGGGACGCCCTTTTAGCAATATCTGCCACGTGATTGTGCCAAGACATGTTGGTCTCTGCAGTAACCCCCAAGATGTTCAACTGACTCTGTAATGTAACAGCACTTCCAGATAGCATGATGTTTGGCTCACCGGTGCTGTTCTTTTTTGAAAACAGAGCTGCTTGGGTTTTCTGTGCGTTGAACTGTATAAGGTTTTTGTTACCCCAGTCCTCTATTATCTCCAGGTCGTTATTTATCTGCGATATTTGAGTTAGTCTAAGATGATGGAATTCACGTGCGGAAAGACCTGTGGGTGGTATGAGTGAGGAGACTACATTGCCATCGTCTGCAAAGCAATAAAGTGGATTTACTGTTTTATCTATGAGGTCATTTATGTAAATCAGAAAAAGAGTTGGCGAAAGGATTGCTCCCTGTGGCACACCAGCATTTATTTGATAAGAGTTGGAGTTCTGGCCATCCAGTGCAACATAAATGGATCTGTCCTTTAGGTAACTTTCAAACTAAGTGCAAAGCTTCGGCGATAATCCCATTGCTTTGACCTTGTTGAGCAGATTTTCATGCCAAACTTTGTCGAATGCTTTAGATATATTTATAGTTGGGGAGCTGGCGTCAAAAACATGCAAGAGTTTTCGCAAGGCGGATATTTTCAAAATAGGTCGTACTTTAGTGCTAGAATGCTAGTGTACAGTCAGCACTCACAGTTCCGGGACAGCTAGCTCTGGGACGCGGGCAAAGTTGTAATTTTAAGAAGCATCTAAACTGTTTTCTCAAAGCTCAAAATTTATAGAAATTTTGCACATTATCTGTTTGAAGGTCACAGATAACGTATGTAAATCGTCAGACGTCTAGTTCGTTGCGAAAAGGGGGTCAGACGTCCTCAAAGTTTTTATTTTATGGCATTTTCTTCAAATATATTTGTCAAATACCTGCAAAAATATATTTTGACAGGACACCGAAGAAAATGCCATAAAATAAAAACTTTGAGGACGTCTGACCCCCTTTTTGCAACGAACTAGACGTCTGACGATTTACATACGTTATCTGTGACCTTCAAACAGATAATGTGCAAAATTTCTATAAATTTTGAGCTTTGAAAAAACAGTTTAGATGCTTCTTAAAATTACAACTTTGCCCGCGTCCCAGAGCCAGCTGTCCCGGAACTGTGAGTGCTGACTGTACACTAGCATTCTAGCACTAAAGTACGACCTATTTTGAAAATATCCGCCTTGCGAAAACTCTTGCATGCTTTTGGCGCCACCTCCTGGACTATTAATTGTTCTTGTTTCACCCCGCAACTCAATCGCTTTTTGCCATAAGTGAGTGACGTATGTAAGTAAATCGCCAGTTGACCTATATTTTCGAAATCCGTATTGCTTGTCGTTGATAATTCTGTACTTTTCCAAGTACTTGGTTAGGTGATTGTTCACAACTCTTTCCATTACTTTTGATATCACCGGAAGTAGAGCAATTGGTCTATAGTTTAACGGATCTGTCTTTTTTCCTTTCTTTGGAATGGATTGTACTGCGGCAGACTTCCATGATGATGGATATACTCCTTGCCTGTAAGACAAATTGAATAATTTTGCGAAAGTTGGGGTGAGTTCGTTGGCGGAATTTTTGAGTACTATTGCGGGAATGCCATCCGGACCCATTGCTTTGTTTGTATCTAGCTTTTCAAGGGATTTTCGTATTTCTCTGTGACAAAAGGGTACCTCTGGCATACTATGGGAAACCCTTTCAATGAACGGTGGAGTTTTTCCGTTTGGCACTGTTAAGTTGGAGTTGGAGGAAAACATTTGGGCCAGCATATTGGCTTTTCCCTCTGATGTTGTGGCTAAGTGATTATTTTTATCTGTAAGTGGTGGTATGGATGACTTGGTGAAGTTAGATCCAACAGCTTTTGCAAGAGACCAAAAGGACCTAGAACTACTTGGACAATTCAGCAACCTGTTTTTTATTCTTTGATTGTATGTTTCTTTAGCGGAGTCAATAGTAATTTTGCAATTATTTCTGGCTTCTATAAATTCTGTGTGGTTTTGAGCGGTTTGTTGTCGTTTCCAAAGGTTATATGCTCTGTGTTTTTCTGTACAGCCGTTTGACACTGGCTGTTGAACCAAGGTTTTGCATTAGCTCTACGTTTAGTTGTATGTGGGATATATGCATCCATTCCAGATAAGATTACTTGTGTTATTTCATTACAGCAAATAGTGGGATCAGCTGTTTTAAAGCAAACCTCTTGCCATGGAAAATCCAGGTAAAACTGTTTTAGGTCATTCCATTTTGCCGATTTATAGTGCCACATTTTACGAGGAAGTGGTTGTTGGCTTGGTGGGATGAGCATTTCGCACTTTGTTATTATAAGTTTATGATCGGACGAACCAAGTGAAGCATCTACTTGAATTGTGTACGAGTCAGGATTTGTGGTTAGGAACAAGTCTAAAAGCGCTGCAAGTTCGCCCCTTTCTGAGATACGGGTAGGTTCATCGACAAGCTGCGTTAGACCACAACTTATGGCAAAAGCTTCTGCTTCTCTGCCTTCGTTATCTGTTTTGTTGTGGTGTTTCAGCCAGGGTATATTGTGGACGTTGAAATCGCCTAAAAAGACAATTTTCGCCTGTGGATAGTTTGACTGTATACTATCACAGCTTTCGGATAATGTCGCGAAAAGGTTTTGGTACTCGGTGTTAGATGGCGGTCGGTAGAGGCAGCAGATAATCTTGGTCGATGACTTTGAGGTGAATTTTAGCCATATGATATCAAGGTTCGCTGGTTCTAGCTTCTCCTCTCGATGTCATGAAAGGTTATTTTTAATGTACACACAGATCCCAAAATTATGTCGAAATCGGTGGTGTAGGTCATAGCCGGGATAAAGATAGTTCACAATAGGTGTTGCAGAACTGATTTTAGTTTCAGTGAGAACAAGGATGTCAGGTCTTTGTTCTTCAAGATGTTGGTGAACTGAATTCATATTTGTACTTATTCCTCTTATATTGCTAAAATCAATTCTGAGCGATTCTGCATGAATTGATTTTCTGACTTTAAGCACTTGCATCAAAATCAAAATGTTGGTGCAAAGTGTGCCTCTGGGACCATTTCGAATCGATTTATAGAAAATGAATTGGAACAATTTAAAACAATTCATTTTTTTATATCACACTTTACTATTTGGCTTTCACTGTTCAGCGGTCACAAAAAGCTATAGCATCACTTATATAAAAACGTATATCTAATATTCTAAAAACACTTTTGTTTATGATGTTATTACTTACTGTATAATTTGGGTAACTTCGAAAAATCACATAAAATACAATTATTATACCTACATTATTATTTCTCTGTACAATTTTGTCATGTTCTTGCAACAATCATAAACTAATGCAATAATCAAAATCACATAGTTGCTGCAAAAACAAATATCTGACATAATTATTTTGCAAATTGCAAATGCATTTCACATATTCTGGTACAAAACAATATTTATTTTGTTTTTCGATTGGCTATAATACAAATTCACAAAAAATTATATAAATAAATAAATATTCAAATAGCTTTGCCTAATAATCTAGCTCCCCTCTGATTTGTCTAACCTAATTCAGATAAAACCGAATCCAAATCTTCTTGCAGAATCGCTGTCATTTCTTTTTGTTTGTTGAGGTCATCTTGCAACCTACAACAATTATACAATATTTTATGTTCCTACATAATTGCAGTGTATATTTACCTTTCTGCATTTGTCTTCAACAAGAAATTACCCTTCTTCAAAGCGCCTAATCTAGCCTCATGCCTCTTACCCCTACTAGACAAATTAGCCTTCTTTTTGTCGAATGGGGCATCTTCTGGTTCGCTCAGGCTCTTTTCTGAATCACTGTCATCTGAGTCGCTTTCGCTTTCAGATTCTTCTTCAGTGCTTTCTTCTTCCTCTTCAACCTCTTCTTCTTCCTCCTCTTTTTCTTCTTCATCGTCATCATCATCTTCACTGACGTCTTTGAGCAATGCCGCCATTTTGTCAACTTCTTTCTTTATTTTGTTGTATCGCTTCTTCTCTTCTTTTATTGCAGCTTGATTTTTCTTGATAATTTCTTTGAGGGCTATTCGTTCTTTTTTCGAATTTTCCTCCTTGTTTTTGAAGTTTCTCAATTTGTTGCCTAATAGTTTTATTTCTTTTTGATTTTTCTTTTCGCGTTTTTCTGGTGTTTCTTCTCCGTCGCTTTCTTCTTCAGTCTCTTCATCATCTAATTCATCATTATCTTCGCCACCATTTGCTACACTATTTTGGCGAGAACTACTTAGAGATACTCTTTTGCCTGAAATTACAAAATAACAGAGACATTGACAACAAAAGATGGGCTTATTAAAATAATTACTTGCACAAGTAGAAGCATTATTGTTTGTAGTTAGTGCATCAGTCCACCACCAATCAGTATTATTACTATTATTATTATTATTATTATTATTATTATATTGTTTAGTAGGTTGATATACGTCATCATATGCTGAAAATTTAAGCGTTAATATTAAGCAGAGCTAGAGGGATTAGCAAGTTTTGGCTGCATTTGTCTGCGACAAAAAAACAAGCCGCAAAGAAGGCAATTTTTACAATTTTAGCCACCCTGGGAAACTGTAAAGACTAGAAGTTGTTACATGAAGTTGTTTTATCAAATCTACCAAAGGGCTGAAATTGGCTGATTGAAAAAAATAGATTATCTTGCTAATTTGCTATACCTCCAAGTGCATCAATAAGTTTTTTTTCCAGCTCAATATTTTTCCTTTTAAAATCTTCCAATTGAAGTTTAGTCGTGTCTAAACTCTTCATTGCTTCAGTATATTTTTTTTCAATTTGCTCTGAGTTTTTCCTTGTTTGTTCAACATCTTTTTTGAGTGACTGAATAACCTACAAAAAAAATTATATATTTTGTAACCCTTAGCTTTTCGGTGTGCTCTTTCATAATTTGTCCACAATATCCATACTAATCATATACTAAGATAAACAGAAAATATTCATCTGTCAAATCAAGTATTTTTTTTAGGTAAACAAACTAAACATGACGATGCGTCCAGATGATCACAGAAGAAAATGGGACCGGGAAGAGTACGAAAAACTAGCAGAAGACCGTAAAAAAGCCGAGCAAGATTTTAAAGATGACGCTGAAAACAAGAAGAAAGGTCCACCAGTTAAACGGGAATTGCTCAAAACTCGCGAGTATAAAGTCGACTTGGATTCGAAACTTGGCAAAAGTATTGTTATAAATAAAAGCACTCCAACATCTCAATCTGGAGGGTATTATTGTAACGTTTGTGATTGCGTTGTTAAAGACTCGATCAATTTCTTGGATCATATCAATGGAAAAAAGCATCAGAGAAACTTGGGAATGTCCATGAAAGTTGAGCGAAGCTCTTTGGACTCAGTAAAACAACGTTTTGAATTGAATAAGAGAAAAATGGAGGAAAAAAAGAAGGATTATGATTTGCAAACGAGACTAAATGAAATTGCCGAGGAAGAAGAGAAACTTAAAGAGTATAGGCGAGAGAAAAGGAAGGAGAAGAGGAAGCATGAAGAAACCAAGGATGAGGAACAAGAAATGCCTAGCGAATTAGCTAGTATGATGGGATTTTCAGGTTTCGGAGGATCCAAAAAGGGAAAAAATTAATTTGTTGTTACCAAGTAATTATTTTTAAAATAAGAAGCTTATTTTGTGTAATCAGTTTCGATTCTTCAATAAAAGTATCTATATGTTAGAATATTTTTGATCTATGATATGATTTGCAGGCGAAAAGTAACCCAAAATTGACTCCATTAGTAGGTAAGTACCAATTTTTATTTATTTTGGAGAAATTATTGGCAAATTATGAAAGAAGAACACCAAAAAGCATTTTAGAATTTTATATATTGGTTTTATTTTCAGCAAAGATACAATGTTGCCAATTGATTGGCAATACTAGAAAGTGGAAACGTCTTCCTTCAGAAATATTTTGATTTGTGACCAATGATCAATTGTCACCCAAAATTACTTCAAAAATTTAATTTTAGAGAAAAATTATAGAGATCTTACCTTTTCATCAGCAGCATTAGCACTCTTCCCATTTCCACCGCCAGCTTTAGCTTTTTCCAGCTCAGCTTCCATATTAGCTAACCTGGCCAACAGTCTTTTATTTTCCATTTCTTGAGCTTCCTTATTCCTCAATTCCAACGCCAGCATTTGTTTAGTACTTTGCAGATCATCCCTCACCTTATCGATATCGTCCAGCTCGTCCACTTCTTCTGGAGCAATTTCGTCCTATGATCAAATAATTTTTATGAATAATCACTGGATTTTTTGAAATTTTTGAAATTAATTTTGATTATTACTGTAGCCAATTGTCCGATTACTTACACTTACCGGTGGCATACTGGCCATCGACATGGATTTTTGGATCTGCTCTTCTATTGTCATTTGTCTACGGAATTTCCTCAAACCCTCTAACATTGGTTTGCTCCTATCATTAGTCTGAACTCTTTTGAGCTTAAAACCAGTCTCGATCTGAAATATTTCAATTATAGAATGTTTTATAACACTTACTTAAAAAAAAAGTACCTGTTTAAGTAGTTCATTATGTACATTGGGTGTTTCACTATTATACAAAAAGTGCTCTTGATCTTTAGACTCTGGAAGCAATGGCTGAGATCTGTCGTTACACTCTACATGTTTCAACTTTCTGCCACTTTCGATTTCTTTTAGTGTTTGTGACCAATCTGGTCGGACTTTAGGCCTGGCTCTAAACATAAATTACATTTTTAATTAACATTTGAAAGTACTGAAACTCTTACTTGAGTTGCTCCAATTTCTTGGCCTGTTTGTCGTTGAGTGGTTTCTTAGGGGCCTCCCCTGGCATTCTTGGAGGTGGTGGAGGCATCGGTGGCGGCGCAGGAGTTTGAGACAGCCTTCTCATCGACTCTGCACGAACTACAGAGTTTCTTTTGGCAGGCAATTCCTAGGATTGGAACAATATTTTCTTCAAAAACTTGCAATTTAGGTCTTAATTCATGTACTTTTGTTCAATTTGTATTTTGACTTAAAAAAAATCAAGTAGGTAGTTGGCACAATAAAATGCTAGTGAAATCACCACACCCGAATAGAGACTGATGTGGATTTCATTGGCAAAGGCCTGAGTCAAATTTGCTTTTATAAATAGCAAAGGATAACAATTGATTTAAAAGTTCTTCAAGTGCCTTGGCCCGCCAGTCTGGGCCTGAAACGAAATTGCACTTGAATGATGTTAAATTTAGAAAATATATGAAGATTTTTTTTTTGGGTTACCTACCTTGGCAAATTTGTTGTTTATCTGGAAAAAATAAGGTTTCTATTTAAGATTTGACATTTTTGTGCTTACAAGAAGTGGCCAGGACAGATCTAGAAAATAGTAGAAGGAAATGAAGAGAAAGTTTGTTTTCTTGGATAAAAGGACCCTACTCAATAAATCCTGGAATGTTTGAAGTCCCTCTGATTGCTTGAAGTATTTTTCAGAAGCTTCCAAATGTGATTTAATAGAAATTTTATAAGATTTTTTTGCATGAAAGTGAGAAAAAAATTCATAATTCCTTTTGTGAGCCTGAGATCCATTCGCGGTTTGTTTTGTTTGATAAAAAGATCCTACTCAATAAATAGGTACTGAAAGTTTGATATTCCTCTGATTGCTTGAAGTATTTTTCAGAAGCTTTCAAAGGTTATTTAATAGAAATTATACATTATTTTTTTGCATCTAAGTGAGAAAAAAAAATCATAATTCCATTTCTAAGCCTGAGATCTGTCATGTATTGTCATCATCTTTTATGCTGTGAATAGTGTGAATAGTTTAATTTATGTCCGATTGACCAATAAAGTGCTATTTATAGAACAGTTTTGCATCAATAAAGTAGCCTTTTATTTTACTGTAAAATAAAGTGCTACTTTATTGCCTGCCTGGACTACCTGACAACCTGGCAAGGTGAAACAGGTATACTAGAATTTTAATTTTGTCATTTAATTTTTTTAATATTTAATAAAAACCAGGCGCAATCGTACATAAAATCATGTATATAACTCTTACATAAACAGGCCTTATTGACTCATTATCTTATAGCCTCGCTCGCAAGCTCGCTCGGCCATAAAATTAATCGTACAATAAAGCCTTACTTCATGTACTTGGTATATAAATAACTATTATTCATAACGCCGCTTCTACCAGCTGACAGACAAGAGACGACAATCAGTGGTAGTCAAGTGGACTCAAACTATACTGCATTTTTTCCCAAGATAGGTTTTGACACTGTCAACTTTGAAACATAAACAATGCCGCTTATTGATCGCAAGATGCCATTTGGGACACCGCAGTTTGCGACCAATCAGGGCCAAGCGTTATTGTTTATGTTTCAAAGTTTTCAATGTCCTAAATCCATCTTGGAAAAAAATAGACTTCAGCTGCCAGTAGTTCTCTAGTCCTTTATATAACAGAATAGTATATTACATACCGAGTAGGGAAGTGTTTCATTACTGTCGAGAGATTTATATAGTCAATCGAGACGCGAAGCATCGAGATTGACTTATAATCTCGAGACAGAAATGAAAACTTCCCTCCGAGGTTTGTATACTATTTTATTTGCAAGCACACCATTAATTATGATTAGTCAATCAATTTTTTTAATACTAAAAAAAATAAAACAAACATGCCAAAATGTGTCATTCGCTGCTTTGACGTTTTTACCTGACATGTTTTCATTGTTGCCAGCAAAGGTAAATAAATTAGAGTGAGGGAAATCGGTGAGGGAAGTCGAATAGGGAAATCGAAGAGGGAAGTGACACAGGTAAAGTGTCACTTCCAAATTTTTAAAAAGTCAGTAATGACAAGATTACATATATGATTGCACATAATAGTATATTACATACCGAGTAGGAAAGTGTTTCATTACTGTCAAGAGATTCATATAGTCAATCGAGACGCGAAGCGTCGAGATTGACTATTAATCTCGAGACAGATATGAAAACTTTCCTCCGAGGTTTGTATACTATTTTATTTGCAAGCAGACCATCAATTATGATTAGTCAATCAATTTTTTTAAGATTAAAAAAAATAAAACAAACATGCCAAAATCTGTCATTCACTGCTTTGACGTTTTTACCTGACATGTTCTCATTGTTGCCAGCAAAGGTAAATAAATTAGAGTGAGGGAAATCGGTGAGGGAAGTCGAATAGGGAAATCGGTGAGGGAAATCGAAGAGGGAAGTGACACAAGTAAAGTGTCACTTCCAAATTTTTAAAAAGTCAGTAATGACAAGATTACATATATGATTGCAAATAAACAGTATTACTACATTACGTTACATTACTACGTACATTAATCTAGTAATCAGTAAGAACGCCTCTATTTAATTGCTTAGACCCCGGGCATAAATAACACGTTAGCAGCGTAAAACTAAACGATTAAAATCTGTTTTTTTTTTTTAAAGATAAAAGTCAAAATGATATTATGTTGGCAATACAATGTAAAGTTGTCAATGCTTCCAAATTTTTTATATAGAAAAGGCATGTGTTGCCAACATAGTTACTAAATTTTTGACTTGGGGAATTATCTTGAAAAAAAAAAAACAGACTTTAGCTTCAAGATGGTGGAACTTGTGACATTAACTGTCTGTAAACACAACATTAAGGTCTGTTCTCACAAGAGCATCTGACACTTTGCAAACAAGAATCGCTTAGCGGTTATTATGTGGTGTTTCTGTATTTAGTGCCATATTGTGACATTTTGTGTTTCAAATAGTTTATCATGGTTAATAGAGGATTTAGAAAAGCGCAGTCTGACAATCTTTGTGTGCATGGACTCCAGACATTTAAATTAATATTTAAAACGAAAATATTTCAATATTTCAATCACAGACATTTTATTTAGTAAACTTCATGATGCAAAGTTTTTTACATTATTATGGACACTTCTCAGGCTTTTTTCACAGATACCCCTGGTTCTGAAATGTGTACCACCGCCACTTGTTGGGATAGGTATAGATTCGCACGGTTGCCATTTGGCATCAGCTCAGCGCCAGAAATTTTCCAGCGTTTTATGTATGGAACGTTAGAAGCTGAGCCTGGTGTAATATCATATTTTGATAATGTTCTTGGGTTCGGCAGGAGCCTAGAAGAACAAAACAGAAATTTGAACATAGTATTATCAAAAATCTGTAATAGTGGCTGTCGCATTTTTGTCAGAAGAACATAAAATTCTTAGGTCATGTGATCAGCGAAGCGGGTATTGCTGCTGACGGAAAGAAAATTGATGCTATTGAAAATATGAAACCACCTGGAAATCGGAAAGAACTAGGGCATGATAATTTACCTTGCTAAATTTTTACCAAACCTTTCTCAAAAAACCGCGCCGTTAAGAAAACCTCTCAGTGAAAAAAATTAATGAGTGCTGAAAATGAAAATATTTTGTTTTCAACAGCCTAAAAAACTTGTTACATCTACACAAGTGCTATCATATTATGACCCTAAAAAAGAAACTATTCTCAGTGTTGATGCAAGCCCGTTTGGTCTTGGAGCAGTGATTATGCAGGAATATTATCCACTGGAATATGCTTCAATATATCTCACTCCCACTCAACAAAGATACAACCACATTGAAAAGGAACTTATGGCTTTGGTTATGGGCTGTGAAAGATTCCATTATTATTTATATGGTAGAAGATTTTTACTGAAGAAACCTTTAGATGAGATGTCTCCCAGATTGCAAAGACTAGCTATTCGATTGCTAAGATATCAGTTTACACTAGACTAGAATATGTCCCTGGAAAGAAAATGCAAATAGCTGATACTCTTAGTAGAAGCCCAAGTCATGAATTTATTGATATCACGTACTTGGATGCAAACTTAATGGTTTATTCTGTGATAGCCCCATCCCCAGAAAACGAAGAACGTCTTAAACAAGCCCTCTCAAATGATGCTATTTTGCAACAAGTAAAAAATGTTGTCCTTTCTGGATCCCCAGGACAATTCGCCCAATAAAAGGAAAGGAATCGATCAGATAGAAATACCAGTTGAAGAAAAAACTATAGTTGAGAAATTCTCAAAAAATAATATTGATGTGACTCACGATGAAAATGTTGACCTAATCTTGCCTCCTGATAAAGACTAAAGAGTTAAATAATGCATGTACTACTCGTAGTGGTCATACAATTAAAACGCCCAAAAAACTTCATATTTAGTATTAGACCAGGCAAATTTCTATAATTATAGCCCTTTTAGTGAAGTGTTTGCGAACAGTTATTTCCAAGTGGAAATCGATAGATCTTTTAGTGTAGAATGAAAATCCAGAAGTCCCAAAAAATCGCATGTGAGCTAAAGTCGCCATTTTGAAAAACATGGCCGCCAACGTCTTTGCGTTAAACAGTGATAATTCAGTCACCGCTGGTCCTATTCTCATTTTATTTTAGGGTGTACCACCAAATTCAAGTCTGGTTGGGAAATGTATTTTCACCGGAAGAATTTAGTTGGAAGGTGTGCAACAACGAAATGTTTCCAGTAACTACGCAGCAGGCTCCAGCACCCTCAGAACTTCTAAGCCTCATTTATTGTAAATGTAGAAATGGTTGCCAGAAAAAATGTGTGTGCTCGAAAGTCGGACGCTGCAGTGCCATGTGTCAAAACTGTCATGGGATTGACTGTAAATATGCGTGCGTTATTGAAGAAGACAATTTTGAAGTCCGAATGTCTTTATATTATTTTATTTACGACTAATGTATAATGTGCGTATTATATTTGTGATTTTGGCAGTATAATGACATATGTTATTCCTCCAGGGATTAATGACGAGTAGCGGGATTAATGCTCATTATTTCACAAAAGTGTCAGTGTCAAACGTGTAGTGCTTGTGGATTTGTATTGAAAATTATGAGACGGATGAAATTTGTTCATTGAAAATCTCAAATAAATTAATTTGTCGTAAATAAAGTAGAGTATACTACTCGCAATAATGGCTATTATTCCCTCGGAATGTTACTCCCTCGCCGCTAACGCGGCTCAGTTCGTAAATATTTCTCGGGAATAATAGCTATCATTATTGACTCGTGGTATAATCTACTATTATGTCATACCAATACATTATTGTGTTTTTATACCTTGGATATCATCCACATAATTCATTACTTTATGCCCGTGCGGGCATAAAGTACACATTATGACCCGCGCGGGCATAAAGACGCAAAAAAAAGTTTTCAATTAACTTATTTTTTATTAACAAAATATAAATTTACGCTGATAAACATATTATTTTTGTCAAAAAATTATGTTTGCACACTGATGACAATTTGCGAAGTGACACTTTTTTCCCAGGTATTTATTATTCACAACCAACTGGTATAACATAAAAGTTTGTATGCACCACGGGTACTAATAGATATATATACCCTCGGGCGACTTACGAACCCTCGGGCCAGAGGCCCTCGGCTTTGTAAGACTGTCGCCCTCAGGGCATAATCATCTACTACAGTACCCTTGATACATAAATAACTATTACAATTACAATAATTTCAGTACTACATTTTATACTTTTTATTTCCTTTCCGTATATCATTTGTCATTTTTTCGTCATAAACATTTTTTTTTAAAATTGTACAGGGTCTTTTTTATATATATTGACACCCCACCTACAATCTTTACCTTTACAGGTGGAAGAAAGCTGTAAATACAAAAGTTGTACAGTTTTGGCTAAATTTTTAAAATCCATGATCAGAACCAAAAATTGAATGTCAGAAATGTGAAATTTTGCATGCTTTCAGCTTTTTTCAAATGGGATGCTCTATATTTGGTTCTATATTCTATAGCACAATACCCCGATTCCAAAAATATATAGTTTGTCTATATTTGGTTGAACAGTCTACTTTCCTATTAACTGATTTTGTGAACGATTCTACCTGTAGGTATAGCTTTTCCAAAGTCAACTGAAACAAGGTGAACATAAATCATAACTGGTGGCTGACTAGTGGCATTTCTTATGGAAATTTTCAGTGACCAGTCAGCCACCAGTTGGTACCTTGTTCCAATTGAGTCTGGAAATACTATACAGGTGAAAACTGCAGGTACAATTTGAGGTACTTGGTTTCTCTGATAGTATTTTTGAAATTTTTAGAACCAAATATGTTGGAAACGGCTTAACCAAATATAGACAAACTATACATATATTTTTGGAATCGGGAAATTGTGCTCTTCAAGAATATGGAACCAAATATGGGGCACCCCATTTGAAAAAAGCCGAAAGCATGCAACATTTCACATTTCTGACCATGGATTCTAAAAATTTAGCCAAAACTGTATAGTTTTTCCAGAGTCAGTTGAAACAAGGTAAAGGTAAATCACAACTGGTGACTGAATATTTTCATAAGAAATGCACTGCCACTAGTCAGCTACCAGTTGCAATAAAAAAACACCCTGTACTCGCTATGCCGAATTAACCAAAAAAAAAAAAAGATATTGAAAATCGGACCAACGATAAGTGAAATTTCACCGTTCAAAGAGAAAACGCGCTGGCGGCCATGTTTTTCCAAATGGCGACTTTAGCTCACATGCGATTTTTTGGGAGTTTTGGATTTTCATTCTATACTAAAAGAGCTATGGATTACCGTTTTAATATAACTGTTCGGAAATACTTCACTCAAAAATTAAGATTTGCCTGGTGTAGTAAGCTGACATTCGGAACAGACTATACCATAGTCCTGGACTTATTCACTAATGACAACATAATGTAAAATGTTGGTGCAAGAAAACTCTTAAGTGCAACTACATATTAATAATTTAGAGATTGAGTTAGAGAAACAAGAAAAATAGCGTTAGAATATTAGGTAAAAAGTCAAGCTGACTACTTACCCTATCAATTTCCATGTCCATTTCTTCTAAAGTACTGTCTCTCCTGAGCATCGATGGTTTTCTGTCGGAAAGCTTCCGTTCTTCGACTTTTTTGAGATTTGGTAAGTCGTGGATTTTGTAATCCTGTTAAAAAATGCAATTTTAGTCATCCTAAACTATATTATATTATCTGTTGATAGAAAACGTATACTTATCTATTGAGTAAACCCAAATAGTTATAAATTAATACCTTTTTGGGTGGTGATTTTTCCCTTTGTGGTATCGGTTTAAGTTGAGGCTTGACAAAAAAGCTCTCCTTCTCTTCTCCATTTTGTTGAGGCTCTTTTGTTTGTACAGACGTTTTTCTGAGTTTAACACCAGCTAAAGAAATTAGTCTTGATTAATTTGTTTTTACTCATAGACACTCATTGGACAATGAGAGACTTATTCACAAATGATAAGAAGTGTACAAGTGTGATAAATTATTTATTACCTAATGGATTATTTTCTTTTTCTTTTCTGAAACTTTCGCGTTCTTGGGGCTCTTTCTTTTTTACTTTGCGCAGTTGTACTCCGTCTGTAAATAATGTTGTTTGAACTAATATACAATTTTTTTTTTGTTAATTTGAAGCCAAATTTTAGATAAAAAAAGAGAGAAGCTGCATTTGTTATTCACAAAATATTCTCTGTTAGTTTTTTTTTTGTTTTGCGTCATTTTTACCTAAAGGACTCTCTTTTTCCGGAATAGTAATATCGTCATCTTCTTTAATGTCAGGTTTGGTAGCAACTTTTCTTAGCTGTACATTAGCTAGAATTGTTTACAAAAATTTTGAGTATTATTTTGTATGAGCATGAAAACTAATGAATAAAAAAACAACATAGAACATACAATTAGAATATGTGTCTCAATTATTATTCGAAAAATTTAATACCTATAGGATTGTTTGCATCGTCCTCTGCTGGTGGACTATCCTGTTTTTTCCTCGGAACGCTTTTGAGGTTGAATGGATTTAAGGGATCGGCCACCTCTGAGGAATCTTTCACCCATGGTGGTCTGAAAGTTGTCCGTCCTGATGGATTTGAAGCTTTAGCTGTGTCGCCTGCTGGCATTCTGAGCAATCTGTAATAAAATGATGAGATATTGGATTTGATTAATTTTACATGAGTACCATCAAAACTCGGTACAACTCCGTTAGTTTTCATCCGATTTCAATATAATTTAGCTCCAATTAAAGCCAATTAAATTCTCTACAAACCTGTTAATTAAGTTTTTAATTTGGTTTCAACAGTTTTGCACCTGAGAAGCTTCAAAATTGAAATTATCGAACATTGATAATTTGCCAAAAATTACATTGAGACAGTTTCTGTCTCACAGCTCCGTTAATTTTAATCCGATTTCAATGTAATTAAGCTCTAATTAAAGCCAATTAAATTCTCTACGCAAATATCTTAAGATTTTAATTTGCTTTCAACAGTTTTGCACCTGAGAAGCTTCAAAATTGAAATTATCGAACATTGAAAATTTGCCAAAAATGACATTGAGACAGTTTTTGTCTCACAGCTCCGTGAATTTTCATCTGATTTCAACGCAATTAGGCTCTAATTAAATCAAATTAAATTCTCCACAAGCCTATTGATTAAGATTTTATTTTGGTTTCAACAGTTCTGCACCTGAGAAGCTTCAAAATTGAAATTATCAAAGATTGAAGACAGTTTTTGACTCACAGCTCCGTTAATTTTCATCCGATTTTAACGCAATTAGGCTCTAATTAAACCCAATTAAATTCTCTACAAACCTTTCTATTGAGATTTCAATTCAGTTTCAACAAATTTGCAGCTGATGAATATCAAATTTGCTAAAACTTGCCAAAACCCATGAATTATTTTTTATGTTTGAGGATTTCAGATGTAATTTTGATTTGTAAAATGTATAAAATTTTTGGCAATATTCTTATAAAAACTGTATTCTGGTAGCAAAGAAAATCGCGTGTGCGTATTGACATTTTATTGGCAACTTGACAGCATTGATCGTCAGCTACAAGTAGGCGAATTATTTTGTGTAGGGTAAATATTTTGAAAATTATACGTTTAGAATTCTTATTCTATGATGATTAAATAAAGGCTCAATAATAATTCAGAAAATCCCTTAAGATTGACAAGGAACACTTCCGCTCGCACTCTCGCTCATTGCAAACAAGTGAAAATATGCTTACTTGATTTGCTGCCATACGTTTCTATTTTTGCTTTTCGTTTATTCTGTGCTAATTTCGGAAAGTTCCAGTCCATCAAATACTCGAAACTATTATGAGTTTGCTTGAGATGCTGACAATAATTCGGATTCTAATTGGAGAGATTCTAACGTATGCAGTCAAAACCAGATAAATCAACATTTTATATGTATTTTGGTTATTTTTAGATCTAAAGTCGCCTGCCAATTTTTGAAATTATCTCTCTCAACATTTGTATGAACTCTTATAAAGTGTGACAAATACTTAAAAGTCAATTTATATTTTGTGTTTATGTGAATACTTTATGCTTTTATTGCAGTTTTGATCTTTTTAATAGTTTCTGGAATTATTCTATTAATAAAACGTTTGAGTCTATATGATATTTCATAAATCCTGATTTATTAGTTACACTAATCGTCATGGATTTATTCTTCACTTCTCACCTAAAACCTAAATCCTTCACGCAGCGTAGAACTAGAAAAAGTAGACCTGTTTCGAAATTACACTTCGATTTATCAAAAGTGTGTACGAATTAAATAAACACGGGGATTAAGTGAGACGGGACATTCCTTGAGAGCCAAGAACACATTGCTCACTATACGGTTTACTTTTTTTTGCTTTTAAAAATAGATCTCGCATGAGAGATTAATTTGTATTGTAAACAGTGAGAGTGAGGATTTTTGACCAATACCAACCAATACTTTATTTTTTGATTCAGAAATTATTATTCTCCGCTATACCTATTTCCAGACAATGAAGTTTTTCAACATAGATCTTTTACGATTCTGATAACAGTGAAGAGGTAAAATTTGTTTTTATTCCAAACGAGCTGAAATTTGCAGGAATTATAGTCCTTTAACACATTTCCAGTGAATTTCACATTAGGTAATATCTATAATACAAGTGGTATATGTGATTTTATGAGCTCTGAGAGTGGCTTTTTTTTTCAATATGTTCATTTTCAAAATTAATTCTCAAGAAATTTTCTAGTGTTGAATTCAACCCCTAATTTCTGTTTTGAGCATAAAATATATACTATACTAGGGTATTATTCGATGGGTCATCCGCCACAGTCTAAGGTTTTTCATATTGTCAACTAGCTACTTAGGAAAAGAGGACCCGGTATTCAACCTTATTTAATTTAATTGCCGATTCGATCGGATGCTTATTGCTATTGAGCAATAAATTGATATAAATAGTGGGCCAAGCCAAGCAACAGGCAGACTTGAACCAGTGTTAGTACTGCCACCCTGGGAACACTCCTCTGGAATCAAGTCTCCCCAGTGCAAGTACCGCCACCCTGGGAAGGCCCCTCTGGGAAACTGCATCGTTATCTAGTGCAAGTACCGTCATCCTGGGAAAGCCCCAGATGAGAATCAGTTAAACGACTATTAACATTTTACGTAACATTAGCATCAAACAGACATTCCTTCCTAAGTAGCGTCAGACGTGTGGCCCTTCTCACGCATGTATCCTGGAGGATTCACGTAATAACTTCTTAGCAAATATACACCTTTTTATATAAAAACAGAGCGAGTTTCTCTCCATCTATCCACCCTACACCCCCCGTCACAGATAAGCTGTGACAATATGATTACCAGAAATTTGCACCAAATATTCTAAGAATTTTGTGTTTATTGCATTATTTGACCCCTGAGGCTGCTTTATGGTTTTATGAAACATTGTGGAATATGTTCCAGTAACCTTTATAGGTACCAATTCAACCAGTATAAAAAAGTCGTACGAAAAAAACAAAGAGGTGCCTGGCGGAGATATTGCAACGAACTAGAAAACTATACGAAAGCGGCGAGACTTCAGAAAGCTCTTGACAAAGACCCATTTCGGGAAATTGGTATCCTGTGCAAGGAGGATGGCACCTTCACTGCTAACCTTCAAGAAAACACAGAATCACTACTAGCAACTCACATTCCTGACTCCACAACCACAATTGTGAAGGATCAGACACAGGTGACATACATACCCTCTGTGGCTGATTGGTAACTAGCGAATCAAATAATATACGAGGAAAAAATAGGTTGGGCAATTTCAGGCTTCTCCGTCTTCAAAGCACCAGGACCTGACGGCATCTATCCAGCCCTACTTCAGTGGGGTCTGGAGCCACTCTTGCCGCACCTGGTAGGGATGCTTAGGGCGTCCTTGGCGCTGAGATACATACCCAAAGCTTGGAGAGAAGTTAAAGTGGTGTTCTAACCGAAACCAGGGAGGATGGATTACATCACCCCCAAGGCATATCGCCCCTAAGTCTCCCATCATTTTCTCTAAAAACAATGGAGAGCTGGAGAGGCTATGCGAAAGGTACATAAGGGATGAAGTATGGTCAACCAATCCACTCCACCGTAATCAACATGCATATACCCCCGAAAAATCAGCGGACACAGCCCTCCACCTGGATGCTGAGCGAGTGGAAAAATTGCTGGACAACAGAGAGTCCGCCCTCAGGGTTTTCATCGACATTGAGGGGGCCTTTGACAAAACCACCTTTCAAAAAATTAGCCACTCGCTAACAGAAAGGAATACTTTCCAAAAAAATTGTACAAATAAGTGTGCAGGACGTCAACATTAAAGGAATGGTCACAAGAGGCTGCCCGTAGGGAGACGTGGTAGTTTGCCTCCTGAGTAAAACAAATACAAAGTAAATTTTTTGAAATTATCGTCATATATATTCTGTTTATTTTCACTGTTTTTAGTTGCAAGATCTATGAGAGTTTCTAGGAATGCTTTCCTTGTCATAGTCGAACTCTGGGTCGAACTTGACACGTTAATAAAATGTACTTTTTTGACAGTGTTGTTAAGTTTTTGTGTAATATTGGGAGTACTGTTTACATCGATGTTCACACATTCGCCAATGATTTCATTTATTTTTTGTACGACAGAGAAGAAGCTTGTGAGAAGGGTTTGGTTTGGATGAAGCTTCTCTCGGTCTCTTCTGGCTCTTTCTGCTCGGCTATATTTCTGAGAGGTCCACTTTTTAGTGTGTGTCTGCGGTTCAAAGTCTACCGAGGGGTCTATGCTCGGGTCTACGTCGTTTTCTTCAAGCTTTTTTTCATGGTGTTTACCATAATCAGCCAATATTGGTAAAGGAGTGTCTTCTGAGGACGAACTGCCTAATAATGGATTATCTGCAGATTGTGATGGAAAATATTTATTTGCTATTGGAGCAAAGCGTTTCAGGTGAATCGTACTAAGTACCGTGATACGGTCAGATTTTGGCTTAGATAATTTACTGGCCTCGCACACTTTTACTGAATTTGATTGACATTGTGTTACTTACGTCCATCCCTTCTTCACTATTTTCTACTGGCTCTGACTGACATTCTATTAGGTCCAGACCTGAATACTCACTTTTTTCGAAACATTTATTTTGTTGTTTAGGAGAAGATACCTTCGGACTAGTGGTGCTACTTGAGGTCCTGTAATTTTTGATACTACATATGAGATGCTGAAAGGGGTTTTTGTGATTTTTTAAGAACTGCCTTATAACTTACACTAGATTCAGAGACGCTGTTAGAATTAGATTCCAGGTTAGATTTTATCTGTTTTCTCACAAAATGTACATAAAAGTTTGCATATATCCTCGAGATTTTAACTGACTAGTTTTGCTAACTTGCATTTTCGTAATTCCATTTCCACAAAAACAAGTAATACGACAAGTCATCTTATCACTGTCACTCGAGTTGGGTAGAGACGTATGCATATCTTAATATGATCAAAGTTACATATTTCAGACAATTTACATTTACTACTTGCCCACTTCCTAATTGCAGAAAAAGTATGTCTATTCTCTTCTGTTAAATTAATATTAGCGAAGTCTACAGTACTTGAAGAAGAACTGGTTCTTTCGTTTTTATCTTGGGACGTATTTTTTATTGGG